AAAATTTCATGTTTTAATTCTGGTTGGGAATAACCCTAACTAGAACTCTCCAATGTTTTCTGTCTAAACAAACCTGGAGACTTTATTTGTACTGGTGTAACTGGTGTGGGAAAAACTTGTCTGAATAAATAAAGATTGCTTCTGCCAGTTATCAGAGCATAGCAGACACAAGGAAGTTGTTGATATTTCTTTTGTTTCACCTTGGAAATGGAGCATTATAGTCAACCAGGATACCTGAGCTTGAGGCTAATATGGCTGGTGGCATGGCTCTATCGAGGGTAATGCCTCTGTTGGTCTAGACTAGCATTTCTTAATGGGTGACCCCCAAGTGGTTTTCAGAAAACATTGTGGGGCACAGTGAGCAATATTTTGGATAGAGGGTGTTGAGGTGTTTTTAAGTTTTTGTTTAAGTTGAGTTTAGGTGAGACAGGTTTAAACTACTTGATAAATAATGGGGTCACAAATGGGACTAGACTCATGGAAATTACTCTTTACTTCAGTGTCTCTGTTAGCTTTAAGCTAATATTTTATTTGATGATTAAATTCCATTTGTTGAAGAATATTTTTGGCCTTCTGATACCTTCCTGAAAACTTTGAATATTTTTACTATTAATCAAGATCAACAACCCTCTCAGAACGTGATATTAAACAGGCAGTTACTTCCTTACAGAGTAGGAAAACTCCTGGTCTTGATGGGTTTACTATATACTTCAAGGAATATCTGAATATTTCCTATTCTATAGAAGAACTAGACAGGGTTGCCCTCTTAGCCCCCTGCTGTTCAATTCAGCTATCGAACCCCTTGCCATTGCCTTGAGTATAGACAAGGAAACTACAATAATTGCTAGCGATGATGTCAACTATAAATTGTCTCTATATACAGACGACCTTCTCTTGTATATATCAGATGCGGACGAGTCCATCCCTAAACTTTTACAAGTTCACCAAACATTTGGCAGATGTTCAGCCTATAAACTAAACCTAACAAAAAGTTTCCTTTTTCCTGTTAACCAATTAGCCATGTATATTAATTGCACCCACTTCCCATTTAAGGTTGATTCAATGTCTTTCACTTATCTAGGAGTTCAAATTACATGCTCTTTCAAAACACTGTTTACATATAATTTGAGCCGTTTAATTGACTGAACTAAACAGTATAAACTCAGTTAAAATGGCAGTACTGCCTAGATTTCTTTCTTTATCTTTTTCAAATCATTTAAAAAAATGTTACCAAAATCTTTTTTTTAATAACAGGATAAGATGATTTTAACTTTAATCTGCCAAAAGAAAATTGCACTGGTTTGTAAATGATACCTTTAGAGCCCCAAAAGCATTTTTTATACTATTAGTGGGCAGCAAACATTAGTAAATTGTCAATCTGGCTTTCCACATTACAGACAGGTGAAGGCCCTGTCTGGTCTACTATGGAAATACATTCAAGTTTACCAGTCTCACCCATATCCTTGATCTGCTCACCCCTGCCTTAACAATCCAGTGGTTCATAATAGTATTCGAATTTGGTTCCAATGTAGATAAAATAAACAAGGATTCAGCTACGCCCCTATAACATTTAACCTTCTCTTTACTCTTGCCCTGATAGAAAGCATTTAACTTAAGGGTGTAACTTTCTTTAAATGTCTCTTTGTGAATAACTCGTTTATCTGATTTGATACCTTAGTTAAAAATTATAACATTCCTCAATTTCATTTTTGTTAGATACTTACAAGCTTGAAGCTTTGCAATGAAACTTTATACGACATTCCATTCCCCTTACAAACAGTCCTCTAGGATTGCTTAAGGCCCTCCAACATTGACCAAGACAAAGGATGCCTGGGAACAAGATCTTAAGGTGACTATCCCTGATGCCTTGTGGAATCTTATTAGTCACATTAATTCCTCAAAGTTATGCATTGTCTCTACCTTAATAAAGCTAAAATCTCCATAAGTTTATCGACCTCTGACTCTAGCTGTCCTAACTACCTGTTCTAACAGAATATAGTATCACTTTATATTATATATATCAGTAAAATGTTATAGCACTAACCTCACTGATGGCACGGCAAATAATTCTAACTAGATGGAGGGCTACTAGTCCCCCCTCCTTTATACTATGGATCAAGGAAGTCATGATGTGTCTCCAAATGGAGATGCTGAGATACACTATGAATGGATCACTATATGACACTTCACAGTATGAAGTGAGTGTGAGTAAGGATACACATTAAAGTCAAAATAGATCAAATATATATATTTGAATGCACTTAATTTAACAGAGATTCAGTGTTTTAAATTCAATACATAACTCTTCACAAGTATAATTCCTTTTGCTTGTTGCTGCTCGACTGGCTGGCAGCAGTGACTGTGCAGTTGACTTGATGTGTAATAACAAAGTAAAACAAACTCACAAGGATGCAAACCTATCACCATCATCCGGTTAAAGTGTCGAGAGACAAGAGCATATCGCTGCCAACCAGCACACCTCATATGACACGGCGTACTGTGTTTGCTCAGACGTATGAAATAAATGTTTCCTGCTCCAGAGACTAGCCTGCCAAAATAAATGAATTTAAGGAAGATGATAACTGTGGCCAAATATAAGACCATAGTTACTTATAGGCCTGTCCCTTTGTTATTGTGGTCTTAGCTCGTTTTGGTCCTTTAATAATGTTTCTTTTTGACTGTATTGCTTTGTCTTCAGCTTTTTAAGCTGTTGTCTTTGCCAGGTAACCCACATAAGGAGTCTGTATGAGACTTACCTGCTGCTACCTGCTTAAATAAAGGTTAACGGTTGATGAGTGCCTGGTAAACTAGTGGTCGGGATACCAACGTGAACCACCACATCACCACTTGAAAGTCCTTTACAAAAACCACTGTAGAAAAATACTGTTTTACTTTTTGGACTTAAGTTACTGTGAGTAGTTTATTTTTTTGTTGGAGTGTTCAGAGAATATTGTCTTGACTGCAAGTTTGCCACCAAAACAATGAGCTGAAAAAAAGCTGACCCATTATTAATATAAATATTAAAAAATAAATTGTTCTGTGCAGCTTCAATCTTTCACAAATATATCAATTTGAAGCTTATCAACATAATAATTCCTGTTTACAAACTGTTAATGTCCTCCATTTATCAATGATCATTTAAAAGTATGATTGTCTTCTTTAATTCCCATCCTGTTGAACTAGTTTTGAGAAGTTGTCTGTTTCTGCCGCCTACTGGTGTAAACACGCTTCTACAAGGCCCTGCACACAACGTCAACATCACCAGTGTGCGGGTGGTTCCTTCTGCTTCTGATTAATGTCTCTGTCTTCCTTCATCTGGCCAGTTTACAGAGAACTTCTTGTTTTTCTCTCCAGGCTCTGTTAGTGTAAGTGGTTCAGTAACAATGTCTGCAGACAAGACCTCCTCACTGGCTTGTGTTCTCAACTCCTGCAGACGCAGCTGCAGCTGGTTCATCTCTTTTGGTGAGGATTTTAAGGCTATATGGAGTCTCATCTCCAGGCTTGGTGTCTGCCACAAAGCTAACAGCAGGTTTGGGGTAGTTTATGATATTCGAGGGCAGGCATAGTTAATGGATCAGTTAGATTTCATGCCTTGTGTCCTCGGAGGGATTGAGGTTTTGGAATAACACTGACTGACTGACCTCTAGGACACTTCAGTTGGTGGATTCCTTCCCCAAAGCTTTGTCTGTGATCAGATCTGCTTTCTCAGTATCACAGTTACCAGCCATACAGCAAGAGGACAATGCTGACATGGTGTGAAGTTTTTTGAAATCCAGATTGAAGAGGTTTCACCTCGGTGCTGCAGACGAGCCCCTGATTTTCCCACTGTGATCATTACGAGTGTTCTGCAGCAGCGAGCTATTATCAGCTGCATCTTTCACCTCCTCTGAAATCAGCAACAAAGTACTTTGTGTCCCTCCACGCAACATCCTGGTAATTGCTGATAATGCAGGATCTCCTTGTCTGTTATCCTGGGGCCTGGGGAAAGCCTTTTGGAAGACCTTAGTGTGTTCCATCCTTATCCAGGATCTGTCTGACAAAGCAATATGAAAACTTGCATCACCCAAACGCAACCGAAGGAGCTCGTCCATTACCAAGATTCAAAACACAAGATTTGGACTTTCTGTCATTACAGGCGTATTTTGATAAGGACATACACTGAAAGTACGATCAGTTGAGAAATACACAAATCGTGATTTTGCATCTTATGGTCTTCCTCTTCAATATAAAATACAATACAATATTTAATTTCAGACTGCACTGAATAACTGGACAAACTGCACAGTGCAGAACGAATACAAAAGAAAAAATGAGGAACAGAAATAAGATTAAAACAAGACGGAATTAGTACATAATCCAGAAAGAGACAAACCAAAGTGTGAGAGTGTGTGTGACTTTTTATGCACCAACACACCAAGGCAAATTCCTTGTATGTGTAAAAACCAGATTCTGATTCTGAGTCATTGAGGTAATTTATTCTTAAAGTAATTACCATGACAATATTTCTTTATTACTACCTGTTATTGTTATTTACTAACTAAAGGTACAAATTATTACTGGAAATGATAAATTGTAAATGATAAAAGTGTAATGAGCTGGGAATGCTTCAAACTACAAGCAGTGGCCTTTGCAGCAGTTATTACAGATAATTACTGACTGAATGTAGAAATATACTGTATCTTTTAATATAACCCGACGTCTGTGTTAGAATGTCTTGATGTAGAAACACATGTCATATCATTGCTTTTCTCCTACATACCGTATCTCTCTAAAAGGAGGCTGAAAACAAACTTATTTATTGAATATATATTAATCAGATGACGTTTCAACCAAGTGCAATATTAAAGTTTTAAGCACCAGGTCTGGAGGATGCATGTGATGCAACAGTACATGACAAAGTTAGATGTGGTGCAACAAGCTGATAAGACGAAGGTTCAACATGGAGTGAGGAGGCCAGTAATGACATCATGTAAATAAACTTCTCCACACATTTTGCTTGCTGCTTTTACTGGATTATTTGTGTGTCTTCTGCACTTTATTTTTTTCTTTCTCATTTTATTTAAACATCTCCATGTGTGGGCAGAGCACCCTGCACACAGTTCTTCAGAGAGAATCCAGACACGACATTGGCCAGTTTGGTAACTTTAGGGGGAGCAGGCATGGTGATGACACGCTTGAAATAACAGCGACTCCTAGAACACAAAATCAAAAGCATCATTGATTAGGCACCATAAATACAGCTGGCATCACATTTTAAAGTGGGGCTACAAAAAATGTTATATAGTTAAATGTTAGTGGGTATTGCCTGAATTGCTGGTACAATTGTATTTAAAAATATATATTTGTCTTTAAGCAGGTTTGCATGCATGCATAAAGAATACTGTACCTATAAACAGGGTCAATGAAGTTTTCCTTGACATAGGTGTAGAACTGGCAGTTAGCATTCTCATCACAACTCTTCTGACATTGTTCTGCATCATTCATCAGCTCATAGAGAATATCAGAACCTGGAAAATCTACATCTTCATGAGCCACCTTCATCCAGCCTGTTAGCAGAGAGGAACTGGGTTAAACTTGATGGATAAACTACATAAATACTTCATGAACAATGAACTGGAAGGACATATGAACATTCATATTTACTAAATGATTGCAGTCTTTGTAATCATATATCACATAATAACCAAATCTCAAATGACAGTGTTAGTCACATATCTATACTTAAAGTGATGATCAGTGATACATACTGTTATCCAGCTGACAGAAGCGTGCTGGTAAGCCAGATGTGAATCCTTCTTTAGCTCTGGTCACCATTTCATTTGCATTGTTCTTCAGGTGACAATTTAAATTAGTACTGCAGAAGAAAGAAAATGAGACCTTCAATAAAAATACATTTTGACATTAAGTGAATAAGAATAAGACATAACTGGACTGAAAATGACAACCAAATATTTCATCAGGAAAGTTAAGATACTGTCAGGTAAGGTGCTGGAACAACAAACCAGCTAATATAACTAAACACTTAATTGTAATGTCTTATTGGACCAGCAACAAATGGCCAATTTCCCACTTCAGAGAGAAAAGAAAAAGTTCTATAAACAGTTGTTTCACAATACCTGTCAAAAGAGAAGAATGTGCAGCGTGGCTGAGCAGAGCACAGAGCCTGACAATGTTCAGGAGAGGCAGCAGGCAGTGTCTGGATGTCATTTCCTGGGATGGCAGTACTTGGGAAAAACTTGCCCTGACATGCTATAAAAAATTAAAAAAAAGATAATACAATGAGAAAGCATGCACAACAACCTGCAGGATGTTTTCCGAATGCTATGACTGTTTGTGTACCTGTGTTAAAATTTCGATTTATTTGTGTTTTGTGGGAGAATCCGGACACTAATCCGACTTTTGCCGTCACAATAGGAGGTGTTGAAACTGTCCATCTGAATTTAAGGAAGCACTTGTACCTAAAACAGAACAAGAAATAATCACAAAGTATATCTACAAAGGTTGATATGGCTAGCTTATTAACTTGCAAAGTTAGCTAAGCCATGTAACCTTAACCTTTGTAGTGTAGAGTAATAGACTAATTGGCAAAATCTTTATAACATTAGTTCCTCCTCTCTTATAATTCACCACTTGCACTGGGCATCTGTCACAAATTTAAAGGCCACAAACACTTTGCTCATGGAGGTTTATTTCAACCAAAAACAGTGTAATTTCAACTGCAATCTAACATTATGTGATCCAGTGTTACCTGATCTTCTCAGTTGAAAAGACTCCATTTACATAGGTAAAGAACTGACAGGCAGGTTCCTGTGTGCAGGCCCTCTGACACTCTTCATAGTCTGCTGTAAACAAGGTTTGGTAGTCTGCCCCTGGGAAGTCCATGTTCGGGTACACCTTGGGCAGGCAAGGCTCTGGCACACAGACAGTGAGAGTAAAGGAGTGTGTGACCATGCATCGGGAATAAACCAAAAGTTTTTAAAGTGGTTTTAAGTAGTTCTTAACCTACGTGGGTCTGTGCTGCAGGGTTTGAGAGAAAAGCCAGAGGTGACGCCCAGAAGTGGAGTCTGACTGTTGGGCTGTCCAGAGCGAGTTGACTTGAGGTAGCAGTAGAAATGCCTGCAGAGAGGGGCAGATGTATTTAACTAAAAACTTAATAATGGGTCCTCCACAATTGCAAAAAACAAATATACAAAAATATGTCAACACAAGTAACACACTCGCAAGAAATTATTAGAGATTAGAGATTAATATTTACTTATTTGTGACTACATGTCTATTGCTTGTATTGTACCTGTTATCTCTGGTCCAGTCAGCTCGGATGAAGGTAAAGAAGAGACAGGAAGGGTGCTGGGTGCACATGTGCTGACAGTGCTCAGCATCAGAAGAGTAGACAGATGTTATATCTGTTCCCGGAAAATCCACATTCACCAGATGCCTTGAATTACATTCTGAAGAAATGGAATAAGAAATACATTTGCATATAAATATACACTGTACCACATACCCAGTAAATGGTGAAACAGACACTGAGTATAATTACAATAGACAGTATAGTGCATGTATTACCTTGACTAATGGACAGGCTGCATATAGACAGCAGACCCACCAAGATCAAATATGTTCTCATCTTCTCAGTTTTGAAGATACTCTGCAAAGAATAAAGATTCTTTAAGCACAACTGCAGTAAAAGAGTTGGTTCTCCAACTGCAGGTGGTCAAAGGACAACTCCTTAAACCCTGAATTTGTAGGTCTGATCTATTTGCACTGCCGATTGTTGACACATTCAATGATTGGCTCGCAGTAACCACTACAGCTACCTTCTTGTGCAATAACCAAGTAAAACTAGAGTAAGAAGAGAATAAATAACATTACAAGCTAGATGTTATAGTGTTGATATTTGTTAAATTTAGGGAGCTGCAGCAGAGCATCCTGAAACATGTCCAATATAATATATCATACGCATAGATTATTGTAATGTCTTCTAACCTGCCTTTACAGTTAAGCCATAGCTTAGCCTGATTGGCCACATGTTCTTCACACATTACATCAGATTTTGACTTACAAGCATCAAAACAGCGAACTATGATCTGTCAGGTCTATTGGCTGTTTGAGAGTCCAGCGTAAAATCAATATTTGGATGTCGTGGCTTTGAGGCAATCGAATTATATAGTGTGAACTTTTATAATACTTTGCACAAAACTGTAAATATTTCTTCATAGTTTATTGTCTATTTATGCACCTTGACTTGCATTTATCTTTCTTTATCTTTCTGTTTATTGTTATGCACCAAAGCACCATGGAAAATTCCTTGTATGTGAAAATGGATTCTGATTGTAAGGTTGAACTGTCTAATTTTGCTGTGCTGACCTATTGTGTCTTGTTATCAGTATGGTGTTGTTTTTGTGGCAACCTGTTGTATTTTCACTCCTGCACTATATATTTTGCAACCTGCTGCAAATGTTCATACTGTTTTCTTACTGTACAGTATTTTAACGTATTCATATCTACACCTATTTTTATATTCCAACCGTACATATGCACATTATTCTGCACTTTACGGCTTTCTGCACTTCTGGTTAGATGCTAAGCTGTACTTGTACTACTGTGCAATGACAATGAAGTTGAATCTTATCTAATCTAACTTAAGTTATTATAATCATGATGTCTGACTGTGAGTGGGAATAAAAACATTGCTCAGAGGACTGAAACTGCCAAGTCACCTGTAGTGATAATGGTATCATAGTTCATATTCTCTTTACACAAAGCAGTCTGACCTCCTTGGGCCTTTATGCAAAATGTTGCTAAGGGGCCCTCCTACCATGAACTAGGTAAACCATTTGTCATTGCCACACAGTGACCTGACACCCCAGGGTACTGACTTAAACTCTTTGGAAAAAAAATGTCCCTCCATCTGGAAACCTAAGGATACATATATATACAGATCAGCTGTGCCCAGATTTTCATTTTCAAATATAAAATACTATTCATACTATGGCTATGGCTTGGAAAAGAGAAAACACAAGTTTACCTGATTGCGGTTCACACAATTCACTCTCATGGTGGGTTTTTTTTCAAAGTAAACATTGTCACCCGCTTTGAAACGAGGGGGAGGAGGCCTTACATAATTTTTAGGTCCAAACCAAAGGACAGTAAAAGCAGAAGTAGTTTATTTGAGTTTAGCGGCCTCTGCTGTCAAAACTGTAAGGTGTGGGAATAAAGGTAGAAGATGGTTTCAACTTATCAAAACATGTACATCAGGTTAATCCTTCAGTCACTGGCTCCGATCTGGAGTTGGCCTTTTGGCGCCGTATGGTGGCTGTCCACTGCTCAGGATGAATCAAATGCAGATATACTTTCATGAGGTGATCAATAAAGGATAACTTTAACTTTGAGGGTTTTTTTTTTTTCGAACTAGAATGTAATAAAAAGGTATAAAGTGCATGTTTTGGCTAAATAGAAGTTACTATATTGCTGATACATACTATATATATGATTTCAGAGAAAGTGTCACCAATTCATTGTCTGACCAATTGTGAAATGGTCATCAATTTTTAAGTTAAGGCCAAAAACATGTTTTATCACATTATACTGACTTCGACTGTTGACCATCAAATTCTAATCACATCATTCTTATGTCCAAGCGGAAGTCTGTTCCACATTTAAAGACATTCCCTCGAGGTATTCCTGAGATATTGTGATCTTGAGAATGGGACGAACAGAAAGACGGTTGGACAGACAACCTGAAAACACATTGTCTCTGGCCATGGCTACCACCGGCACGGAGGCCCAAAAATAGCATCCAAACCTCAAACCTGCTGTGAGAGACCAGTTTTGATGCCTAGGGTCAAATACCTTGGTGTAGAAAGCTATAGATATATTTTAATATAAATTTCACCCTGTTACATAAACCTGCGTAAAACATATTCCAGTCAAAAATGGCCTTAAAGACGGCTCTGTGCTCCGTGCTGAGCTTGAAATGAATCAATCACACAAAGTTGAGTTAGTTTTTATAGCTTTTGTTAACAGCACAAAAAGAATAATCTGCGGTTTAAGACAAACAATTTCTGTTCGGAAATTAACAGCCACAGTAAATGCGTATTTCTTAAAAATGCTGCCAGATAGAGTAGTGCATTGGAAGGAGTGGTTACACATCACATAACATAACATGACAGGAACAGTTCCAATGTGCCAACATCTCAGATGTCTTTCAGTGTGTCTTGTCCCTGTGGGTTCTCCAGCCAGGTAGGAGGCCAGCTGGTTTTGATGCTGGGTCTGTCCTTAAGACTGTTGTAGTAAGCTGCCAGTTTAGGGTAACGCTCTTCACACAACCTACAGAATGGAGAAAAGTGGCGGGAACTTCAAATTTCAAAATGTATTGAGAATTGGGAATCCATGCATTCATTTTAACAAGCAGTCTTTTATAGTCATTGAATCAACATACCCGAAACGGAAGAGGTAACAGATGCTTGGATAAACAGCCACATCAGCCAGTGAAAAGTTCTTTCCTGCCAAGAAACAGCCTGATCCCTAGAAGACAGAACAACATAGTTAAGGCCACATTCTTGTGCTGGTGGGCAGATCTGACAACTAAGATTCTCATGTCAGCGGCTGAACAGAGCTGTATTCATTTACTGTTCTCCCTATTTACATAAACATTTACCGTGATGGATGGTTATACAGTAGCTTGGCTAACTGAAACACATTATAGGTGCCTTTAAAAAGAAATAATTTGTCATTTTGGGAAATACACTTTCTTGCAGAGAATTGAGTGAGAAGATAGCGTGGTATCAATCCTGAATAATCTTTCTACATTACTTATTTTTTCTCTTCTTCATCTGTGATGGTTTAGGGAAAAATAAGTTTTGCCCACTGGAGTTTTGGAAGGTTAATTTTTTCAGTGTTTGTTGTTGTAATACTCATTTAGGCCACAAGAGGCTTAAGTGCAATGCTACTTAAAAGCATTAAAGCATTCATGTTTATTCCAGGTGAGTTTGCACTCTAAACACAAGGTACATATATTATGTGTTAGCAAGTTGTAATATCACTGTTGTGTTTTTCTTTTGGCTAGAAATGTATTTGAATCTATACTAAGAAAAAATTGTTTACTTCCAGTAGGTTGGAATTAAATATGAATGCTTTTGGACTAATGTAGGGGTGGTGTTGCACTTCAGCCCTCATGTGGCCAAAATTTCTACTTTTCCCCCAGATTTTTTTTCACCTGCTCTTAAATCATAATCACAGAAAAGGAAACTATTTAAAATCAGCCTTTGAAAATGGATCACTAGAATGCTTCTTTATCTTTCCACTTGCCTCTCAGGGGCTTCCGTAGAGCGAAAAAAATGCTGCTGCTGCTTACAGAACAGCATTTCCTAATCCAAGATGTAATTGCAATTCATGTGGTACTTGAGTTAAAAGCCTTCTGTGGGTATAGTATTTTAAAATCTTCATATTAACCTTCTGCAGGTATCCCTCCCACAGCTTGAGCTCAGCACTCAGAACCTCCCTGTTTCTCTTTACAGCAGAGTCATGTCTCTCTCCCTCCGGGACCTTCCAGTTGTAGTAGATAACATCCGCTGGAAAAAAATTCAAAACAGACATTCAGTCGTGGCGGCTACTCTCTGGGGTATGAGAGCTATGAGAGATATCAGTAAAATCTATCCAAAATCTATCCACACATCCAACATCCACTCCCACATTGTGCTGACTAATTGCTTTCATTTCCCTAGCAGTTGAGGGTGGCCTCAATCAGGAAATTATGTAACATCAGTGAAGATAGTCACCGTGGCTCAAATAAAGTTTGAAGTAAAAAGAAAATACAGAAAATACTCTTCTCCTCTTTTTGCACCCCTCCCCAAAAATTGAAGTATCCTGTCTTATGACTTGAGCTTGCAAGCCAGTCTGAGCATGTGATCCTTTGTGGGATTAACATATGACCTCTCAACATCACTACATGTTTTAACTGAACTGAATGCATGGAGCCATGGCTTAATTGCGTGAATGCACAGCTCATTAGCGCATGCCTTGTGTTTTGAACAACTCAGGTCTCTTGGGGAGGAGGGGGGCTGTTGATGTGCAGCTTCCTCTGAGGAAATTGACTGAAAGCATGAAGTCTCTGAGGTGTAAAGGTGGCAGTTTTTGTGTATGATGTTACCAAGAGCAATGTAGTTCAGAGTCCCAGAAGGCAGACTTCTAAATGGCAACAACATCAGCTAAGTCATAAAGCGGGTGTTCAGAAAAAGCTTATTATTATTATTATTATTATTATGCAGGATTTACAGAGTCAGGGTTAACATACCCATTTTCTGGTTGAGTGTGAGACCCTCAAACATGCGCTGGTACATCAGGGCTTGCTCATTGGGGCAATCAGGGATCAGCTTGTTTCCCTTGGACTTGAACTGGCTCTGTTGTTGGAGACATGAAAAGAGCAACTATTATGAACAGCTGCATGGAGCTCCGGTTTCTTTTCCTCTGAGGCGTAGGGTGTCCTTTTGTCTACGAGGCATTGTTGAGCTCCTAAATATTAACTCCTTGGCAAGATATAGCAGCATAAAATTTTAAATAGGGCCAAGTTCAGCAGCTTGGCAGAGTTCTTACCTCCAGGTACATGCAGGCAGCATAAGACTCATTCAGGACCCTGTTTCCATGTTTGAAGGCAGGTAGCTTTCAGAAAGAATGAAAACTTTTAAGTTTCATTGTTATTTAATATAAAATGAACATATGTTTGCATATCAGGAAAAAGCAGACTGACACTACAAGAGGATTGGGTATCATTTCTAGATAATGGAGGGTTTAAAGTGAACTTACCTGTCCCCTGGGATTCATGTCCATGACTTCCTGCGACTTGTGCTCCATTTTCTCAAAGGAGAGCAGCTTTTGGTTGTAGCCCTGCAGATTCTTCTCCTCCAGAGCGATCATCACCCTCCAGCAGGGAGGAGAGCCGGAGCCCCACAGCAGAGTCATGTCCTGGGCCATGGTTTCAGAGAAAACTGCTACAACTGACAACAGCTGAAGTTGTGAAGTGAAGAGTGAAGTTGGGAGTGTCACAAACGCCTGGTTTTATAACAAGCTCCGACCCTGTGCAACCGGATTGGTGGAATTAGTCCCATCCCATTTTTGTGTTATCAACAAAGATCTTTGACTCAAGACAGTTGAGACAGTTCACTCCTTACCAAGCATGTCCAACCCCATCTTCTGTCTCAGGGCAGCATACTGTCATATTGATAATTTTAGCCTTTAGCTGCTTATATCCACAGGCATCAGCAAAGTCAGTCAGGAAATGTTATACACTTTTGGAACAACCACTGCTTAGAAAAAAATAACTGTATTCTTGCATCTTTCCTGCAGTGACGTCACTGATGCCGTTTCTGATGTGCTCTGATATTACTATATCATACCAACAAACGTGCTGACACGTGATAACATGCATCGGTATCAATATTATCTTACTTCATTGTTATTTTAAACCATTCCTGCAGTGATTTAGTGGTTTTCCTGTTGCATGTGTATGGCCCACTCTGAAATTTGACTGTTGAACACTCACAGTGACTCAGCACTTCTCGCTCACCCCTGCACACACAGAGAAAAACCAGTTCTGCCACCGCCATTCAAATTAAACAATCAAATCTCCACTGAATGATATAGACACCGCTTATATAATTTATACCTAGGTTTCAGGTTGACATGTCAGTTGGCACTGAACAGAAAAAACGATCACCCACTGTTCACATTGTTGTTGCATACAACTTGCTGTTTCTTTGTGCCTTTTTCTCTGAGTCAGCTCTTGAACTCCGGACATTGTGCACTTGAGGAGTTGCCAGTATCAACGATGAAGTAATTTGTGGGTTGACACCACAATTCGGACATGTATTTCATGCAGTTTGCGATCGCTATCTTTAAAAGAAAAAACTACAGCTGCATTTAAAAGGCAGCTTGTTGAATGACAGAAAGCTACAGAAATCACCTGAAAAGCATGTGGTTTTGCTGAAGCCTGTCCCTTTAAGTAAAACATTCAACTGCTGGCGAGATGTATTTAAAGTTTCTTAGATGTTTGACAAAAAGATAAGCAGTAAGCTGGACAAGCTAATCACAGCATTTAGTCTGACTTTAGGTGCAGTGGTGTTTCTTTTGTGAGTGCACCGGTGACATTCCGCCTCTTCTTATCGATTCATCTTCATGCTCAAATCCTTTGTGTCTTTGTCGAGTGTGAGCACTGTGCGTGAGTTTGTCCGTTTATCAGTCTGATTTTGCCTCACTAGAATGACATAAGCATTTCCTGCTGTCAAAGCATGTTGTGAAGAACGAAAGCAATGGTGTTGACAATACAACAGTTTTTTCTCCCAAAAGGATGTTGGCTGATACAACAGGCTGTGCTCTACGTGCATGACTTGGAAATGTGTTGGTTTGATGACCTTACATGCCCTGTGTACACAGAGCAGCCATGCAAACATGGGACTGCTCACACTGTATCACTCTGTATAAATGAAGGCTGGATGAATGAATGAATCCAGTACATTGAATTCAGGCTGAAGTTGTTTTATATTAATGTGGAGGCTCTGCAGCAAGGATGAAGTTCTCTTAAAAATCTACACATACCGATATCAACCCATAGATAGTTATATGAGGCCAATTTGATCCACTACCGACCATGTAGCTTTTATTTTGAAAATCACCTTAGGCTGACTGTCAGTGTTTGACTGTAAGCAATGAGCATTAAAGAGGACTTATTAGGCTAATTTCCAGCTCTGTATTGTTAGGCTGACTCCACTACAGTAGCTTTACATCATTGACTCTTCTAAAACATCCTCATTTATCTTCGACTGGCCTTCATATAGCCCCTCTTCCTCAGTCTGAGCACAATGTTTTTGGGGACCGGGCCTCCCTGATTATTGTACAAAATCACACAACTTTTATAACTTTATTCACTCATTTCAGTGAAACCAGATCATATTTTATAGAGGTCATATGTTCTGGTTTTCCCTAATATAGCCATAGCTATTTGTTGTTAGCGGTTATCTAGCTGCTAACTGTAGCCGCTGTTAGCTGAATGAATCTGTTAGAAGTTAGCAGCAGCTAGCGGTTAGCTTATAGCAACAGGTAAAATCCATAAATTGAGAGTTGCCAGAGAAGCCGCAGGACCAAAGAGGAAAAACTGAAAATGTGTAACTTTCCTTCACAAGCAAAAAAACACTTTCTGCATACAAACATTAAAGGGTCAGTCCTGACTCCTGAGCAGAGCAGTCAGATATCGTAGACAGGGAGTGTGTCCCTGTACTTTGTGGCCACACTCTGCCTGGACCACATTACCATATAAAGTTAGTTACAAACTGTCAGCTGGTTGAAATGGCAGAGTTTTGGACGGCGGAAAGAGAGCAGCACCTCATCATATTAATATTAATATACCCGTGCATCGGACGGTTTCAAACCCTCTAATTTTATTGAGTTTTCATTGTTTTTCGTCAATAAAATGCAACTGTAGCAAGTAACTCGTTTGTTTTAGGATGCTACAAATTACCTCCAGCTACAAAAGAAATCCTGAAAAACCGGCAGTTAGAACGAAAGTCTAGGGAGTCGTTGCTATAGAGATAATACACTATCTTGTCTAGTTGCATAATTGTGAACTGGCAGGTTTCCAGAAAAACCAGCACATTGCAAGTGCAAGTTTCAGCTTCTTGTTGCTTGTCTTTGGTCTGAAGTGAGCTTTGAGACCCTCTGATTGTCCTGCCAACTTCCCTTATAATGGTAAATAAGAAGACGCTATTTGATCAGATTAATGTTTCACAGTTCTTACGGTATATCTGACAGTATATTCTGTCTGTGAACTTTTGAACTGTCACTGGGAAGCATACAGTGCATTGCTCATGTTGCAGGCAGCAGGTTGGATGGGGCAGCCCCATGATAGTCATTGCATCTCTTCCAAATAAAATACCAGCTGCCAATTTAATCATCAGCTGATGAGGTAAAACTGGATAAAGGACCAAGATGAGGAACAGGATGGCACAGGTTGTCTCGTGTTACTCTACTCAGAACTGTGAGCGCTGCAGTTTGTGTATGCAGGATCTGAACTTCATACGCATGTAAAACATAGTAGATGCACAAGTCTGCTTTCTTTATCACAGTGATACAGACCAACATGTAGCTGTTGTGAATGTCTGAAATGAGCAGTGCATTCTACATAAAATGCAAAATCATGCAGGGGATGCGATACAGAACTCATTTATCTCATATATGCAAAGTCATGATAACACAGGGCATTTCACTTACTTCTGTGCAGAGCAAACCAGTTTCAGGTCACGTCCTCAAAGACAAAACATTTTTCATTGAGACGTGGGATGGAAACCTATGTCAGACTTGAACTGAATATTGGAGTTGTGCAATGCTGTGTGCACCTCTACTACAAGAGCACTGTTCAAACTTAAATGTATGTCTTACTCTCAGACTTCACACCTTCAGCAGTGACACCACAGTTTTTATTTATTTATTTACTACAGTAAGATTGGAAATCCAATATGCCGGCTTACAATGACATGTTCAGTGTAGTGGACGGTTAGTACAACAAATATAATAAACAAATAATAAACCTATTAAACTGAAATAACTGACTTCATAGGGACAGAATGTGCATTTAAACTGTTGTTATAGTAACTTGTGCACGTATCAGTCAACAGAGATTAATGCTACATACACACGCCATGTATCTGGGCAACCAAAGCGATTGTCAACAATGTTACAGTTTAACATTTTGCCCGTTACCTTGCAAACATGTCACATTTACGTGTTTATCAACTGATTTTTGTCAAATATTTGGCAAAAACTTGAAACAAAACTTTTGGACTAACAAGAAATACATCTCTGCATTTTTAACCGTAATATATTCAGAAGATACTGGGAATTATTAACACTTCATTTCCTTTCAGCGCCATTAAAAAGGTCCAGTGTGTAACATTTAGAAGGATCTATTGGCAGCAATTGAATACAATATTCAGATATGTTTTCATAGGAATCATTACCTTAGAATGAGCGTTTTTTTTAATCTGCAGACACTGTGGGTCGCCTTCCATGAAGTCCGCCATATTTCTACAGTAGCCCAGAATGGACAAACCAAACACTGGCAGTAGATAGGGACTTTGGCAACCACTTTAGTTTCTCCTACACGCTTCACAGCCCGTTCTCACAAGCGTGTTCAGTTAGTTGCAATCTGTGACTTCACCACTAGGGGCCACTAAATCCTACTCACTAGTCCTTTAAAATAAAAGAGCTGTATCCTAATTGACAAACTGTGAGCTGAAACTATATCAAACAAAAGCATTTTTTATAGACACCAAAGCAAAACATTAGAGGCAGAGGAGACTGTTCGGTGTGTGAGAACTTCACAAGTCTTTGAGCGCGTCTTGTCCCTTCGGGTTCTCCAGCCAGTGAGGGGGCCAGCTGGCTTTGACGCTGGGCCGCTCCTTCACCAAAGCGTAATACTCTCCCAGTTTAGGGTACTTCTCAGCAGACAACCTATAGAAAGAGAAAATAGGAGACATTTGAACTGCAATGACAAGCCACACATCCACAGATCATCACTTCTTCTGTTAGTGCGACTTCTAAATGCCCAAATACCCGAATCTGAAAAGAGTAGCAACAGTTGGAAAAACGGTCGCATCCGCCAGCGAGAAGGATGGTCCTGCCAGGTGAGAGTCCGAGCCCAGCTTGAAAGAAAGACGTGAAAAATGTCAACATGTGTGAACCACGGCAATGTGGGTAGAGATTGTCTGTGTTTGTGTGTGTTTGCTGTTCACTGTTCACACGCTACCTTCTGCAGGTAACCCTCCCAGAGGTTGAGTTCAGTGGCCAGAGCTTCCCTGTTTCTCTTAAGAGCTGAGTCATGCCTCTCTCCTTCAGGGACAAACCAGTCATAGTAGATAACTGCATCTTAAAAAAAGGAAAAAAAAAACACACACACACATTAGTATATCTATTGGATAGTGGCTTTACAGGGTGTATGATCTTATTTCCTTGGCATAAGTGTAGCATTTTCATAAATATGTTTTTGTCTTAAAAAAGGACCAGTGTGTAGGATTTAGTGGCATTTAGTGAACTTAAGCTCAGCTTTCCAAGCATGTAGGAGAAACTAAGGTGCCCCTGTTTAGAGCCAATGTTTGGCTCGTCCGTTCTGGGCAGCTGTAGAAATATGGCAGTTCAACAAAAAGGTCTCATTCTAACGAAAACATGCTTCTTATTTACATGTGATTATACACATATGGAAATAATATTCCATTTCTGCCAATAGGGCCTGCTAAATGTTACACACTGGACCTTTCAGGATAAAGCTGCAATAGTCTACATTGTTTATGTATAGCCTATGAAAAGCAGGTCAAAGATATATATAATATTATTGTTTTTGGTCTTTTAATGGGATTTACTGACAATAGGAAACATTTTACCCTTCAAATTATATTTAGCTGTAACTTACTGTTGGGTGTCTTTAACAAACTGAACTGTTTTACTGCAGTAAGAGAGTCTGACCTGCCCGTTTAAGGGATTTCACTTTATTTGTCTTACTGAGTTTTTCGTAGAAGGTCACTCCCTCAAACATGCGTTGGTACATCAGTGCTTGTTCCTGAGGGCTGTCTGGGATCAGTTTGTTTCCCTGGGTCTTAAACTGATTCTGCCATTATGAGAGAAAAGACATGTCACACTTAGTAATGCTGAATTTAGTGTTAGTGTGAGTAAAAGTGCTTGTTGTCGCTCACCTCCAGGTAGAAACAGGCTGCGTAGGATTCATTCACGACGACGTCTCCATGTTTGAAAGAGGGGAGCTTAAAAATCAAATAGACTATAATGTGAGCAAGAAGGACTCTTCAGGGGTTAACTGCTAATAGTGTTAGCATCATATATGTTGTCTTAATGGTAAAACCACTGGGAGCTAATTAAGAGAACCTGCTGAGCTGCATCACGCAGGGGAACACAAACTGGCTCACTACGAAGTGTTTTTAACAAAACATGGCGGTTAGCCAACTCTGTTCAGAAGTACAGTGTGAGAAGTGTTTTCTAAGGCAGTATGACTGTACTGATATTTACTGCAAATTAATGGTAGTGCACTTATAGTAGGTCACATTATCGCATGGCCCTGAAGTAGCCTCATATACGCCTAACTACATTCAAAATAGAGTCAGTTAAATCTTATCTTGTTTACTGGTCAAATACACGCCTCATAAACCATAAATTAATGCTTTAAGTGACAGTGAAAGGTTTATGATTACTTCGTCTTACTTACAGTACACCTACTGTAGGCATGCCTGTTGTACACCGCACTCTGGTGCGTTTGAGTGAAAGGCACTTCAGTGAGCGATATAAATCCCAATTTTCCTTAAAAAGAAGTTCAGCTTGGTGAACGTAAATATGAGCCGAATTAAAGTGCACAAACGTTGAATTTGTCTGAAGCATGCAACCATGTTTCAGCATGTGTGCATATTTGTTGGCCAACTGGAAAACATTGCATAGATACAGTTATGAATGGAGTTTGGCGTAGCCTTACAAAACTGCACGTATTTCAGGCATACACTACAAATGATGGGGTTGTTATGCGCTAAGGTTATTTGTTGGGGGTGGGAATGGATATAAGGAGTAAGAGTCTAACGTTATTTGACTATTTTAAAGGTTACGGTGGATTTAGGCTACACCCTACCTGTCCTCTGGGGTTTATATCTAACACTTCTTGGGACTTGTGCTCCATTTTCTCGAAGGAGAGCAGCTTTTGGTTGTAGCCCTGCAGGTTCTTCTCCTCCAGAGCGATCATCACCCTCCAGCAGGGAGGAGAGCCGGAGCCCCACAGCAGAGTCATGTCCTGGGCCATGGTTTCAGCTTCAACAGCCTGAGCTCTCTGAAGACCACTGCTGCTCCAGTGTCAAACGAATTGCGCAACAAGAAAAAGGATTTACTGCTACTCTTTGCACAAGTTCATGGGGATCTCAAGTTATAATAAAAGCGCACATTACCATCTACTGGGGAGGAGGAGGTATTACAACTACAGTATTTAAAATAAAATATATATCTTTATCAACAATTGTGTCAGACTTTTGTTATATTAAAAATTAAATACACAATTAGTTTGAAAATAACATATAATATTTTATTAATTTCAAAGTTAAGAAAACCTTTAGATATACAATAACACGGTGATGGTAATGTCAGTGTGTTTCAGAGATCCTTCAGGATGTCATAGCCCTGTGGGCTGGCCAGCCAGTGTGGAGGCCTGCTGGCTTTAATGCTGGGTCTGTCCTTCAACAGGCTGTAATATTTGGCCAGCTTGGGGTAACGTCCAACAGACAGCCTAAAGAGAAGAAACAAGGTTATGATGTTACTGAAAAACAAAGCAAATCCGTCGGGGCTCATTCTTCCATCAAGTACTGAACTCAGTCACCTACCCGAAACGGAAAGCATAAGCAACGTTTGGAAAGACAATCACATCAGCCAAGGAGAAGGCCCCTGCCAGGTATGAGCCTGCAGCCACCTGGATGCAGAAATCAAATGAAAGAAACACCTCTGTCAGCATAGTGTGTTTACACGTCTGTGTTCCTGTGCTGTTCACACACTACCTTCTGCAGGTAACCCTCCCAGAGGCTGAGTTCAGCGGCCAGAGCTTCCCTGTTTCTCTTCACAGCAGACTCATGTCTCTCCTCCTCAGGGTACAACCAGTCATAGTAGATAACTGAATCTGAGACACAGCATCCAACATGAATATCACATTGTGTTCAGTACTTCTGCCCATTTGTTCCTCTTCAATCTGTGCTGGTATTGGTGTGTCTTACTGAGTTTATCAGTGAGGGTGAGACCCTCCATCATGCGTTGGTACATCAGTGCTTGTTCTGCAGGGCTGTCAGGGGTCAGTTTGTTTCCCTGGGACTTGAACTGATTCTGTCACAGAATAATAGAAATTTGTTTTGTTTTTTTAACTCTGAAAGTGTAAAGAAGAGGCAATGTGTTGTTTCAAATTTCTATACTTTACCTCCAGGTATAAACACACAGCACTGGACTCATTCAGTATGTTGTCTCCGTGTTTAAAGGCAGGAAGCTGGCAGATACACAATACACGATAACTATATTGCATAACAAATTAACATAATTTTTTGGTTTATATAACTTCATTTTGTTTTTTACATTAATCAGTATTTTTAATTTGACTTCATAAAACAAAGATGAAAAAATTGAAACCAAGGAAATATTACACTGGCTATAGGAAATCAACCCCGTAATCCAGAGGCCAACCCAGCTGATATGGTTTTACTGTAACTAACTAGCTAACTGGATTTGACTAAAACATATACAATAGGAATATTATTGTTTTTCCTGGACTGCATGCTACACCCACCTGTCCTCTCGGGTTGATTTCCAAGACTTCCTGAGATTTGTGCTCTCCTTTCTCAAAAGACAGCAGCTTGTGTTTGTAGCCCTGCAGCTTCTTTTCCTCCAGAGTGATCATAACTCGCCAGCAGGGAGGGGATCCAGCCCCCCACAGCAGACTCATTGACTTGGCCATGGACACAGGTGGTGCAGACAGAAGCTAAGTCGAAACAAAACTAAAAGACTCAACATTGAACTGCCCACATGAAGTGAGCAGCAGCTGTGTAGTTTATGACAGCTTTTTAATCCAAAGGTTGCTCAGTAGAGGCACGCTCACGTGCTCTAGTGTGTATTCAAGGAAAAGAAGAGGAAGCAGTGAAGAATGACATGCACATCCTTTTTTTTCACTCAATGGTTTTTGTTTTTTTTATTGCAGAATGTGTATACACAGCATTTCAAGTGAAAGTGTATGTAACCGTGGTTTCGTGTTCGGCTCACTACGTGGCATTTATGCAGTGATATTTCCCAGTTTCTGTTGTGCTGTGAGAGGAGCACATGGTTCAGCTGGGACTTACATTATCCGCAACCTGTTCAAGTTCATACAAAGTACAATGTGACCACAGAGTTTAAAGCTGTCCTCTCTCAGCACGGAGCAAAAACACATATTTCAGCTGTGAGCACATCTTTCATTTCTTTTATCTATTATTACAATTCACAGAATAGCCTCTTTTTTTTCCATTCTCTCAGACTATAATACAAGTTTCTACAGAAATTACAAAAATAATACATCACATGAACCGCACTAAACATGCACACTGTAGTACTACAGTATTTAGTACCTGGCAGCTGGAAAGGGCATTTACACATTTTATGCAGAATTCTCTGCATGTCCTTCAAAATAGATTATTAAAATTAAAAAAAAATGTCTTTATCCTTTTGTCTTTTTACACTTTACAAACAGTTCCTCTGAGATAAAAACTTTTTCTCTGTGTCGTTCATTTCAGCATGAGAAACTATTAATGTTGAGTAAGGTGCAAGATGTCCGAGCTTTGCAAATAAATACTAGAACACTTCGGCCAAAATAAAAAAAATTAATTCATTATAATCAACACTCGTACTCGATTTAACTACGCCTGTGAATGTGACATTTGTGTTATCTGAGAAGTAGGAGGTGCGTGAAACAAGATGGCGTAAAGGTACAGCGTTGTCCCTTTTAAATGAAAGGCACACATCAGACTGAAAACCTTTCACATTCCTACTGGACACAATTATACTCGTCACTTGTCAAACGTGCAGCTGCAGAAGCAAACATCTGCCTTTTCACAAAGGATCATTCTTAGTAAGCCTCTTTGTTTGTGCTGATCTCTTGGGATTCTGGAAACTGGATAGGAGAACTAAATAAAACTTCCTCTTCAGCCTGTTAACCTTTATAACGGAAATTCACAGCTTAAATAAATGAAAAATGGTGAAGTCACAGCTGCAGAAACTCACAAGCAAAAATTATCCCTTTGGACTAATGCAACATTTCAAATATGTTTAGATAAATAAAAAAAAACCTTTCAATTCAGTGTAGAGGCAACGTCGCTGAATTGAATTTTTCTTTTCCTTGCCAAGTTGAATACATCGGTCCTTATTTGACGTATTCTCTGTCTTCGCTTACACTTTTTCTTTGTGTTGCCAAAAAAGAAAACACTATCATGGCTGCAGCTTCATCACTCAGACACATCAGGCAAAATGAGCACCCGGCAAAAACCTACAGGGGTTTATGACGGGTGGAATACAACTGTGTAAAGTGTGGCGAAGGCAGGTGGCGGACAGAGACGTTGCTTCGATGGTTGTAGCTATGTTTCCACGGCAATGGGGGAGGTCTGATGATCACGATTATGTGTCCGGAGAATCGGTTAGTCCTAAAGCAAGAGCTTCCTCTGGGGTCAGACCGTTCTTCAGAGTCCGCCTCACTGCAGGAAGAGAAGATCAGTTATCACATGGTCATGTGCTCAGACTGACAGTGTGTCCCCATTCCATACTGCATACTAACTTTATGCAGTATGTGCAATAAATGTCATAGTATACGGTTTTTGCACAAGAAATCAACATATGTTTTTAATTTTTACTAAGTAATCTTCTAATTTCAAGTTTAATCAACCTAAAATTTCTAGTTTTTAAATTTATAATATTCAGACAATTTCAGAGTTCTTTTAACTTGAAATTTTACTAACAGGAAATGATTGAATACTGAAGAGTACTTTGCTCTCTTGCTTTGTTGACATCCATTAAACTGTGACTTTAAAATGTTACACTCTCCCCAAACACATGTGAGTGCTCTGATCAAGTCTCACCTTTTTACTTTAACTGCTTTTAATGTCTGACTGACTTTATGTCGTTCTACTACTCTGGGCTTGTATTTAGTACATTGTGATTTAGTATTGGATGATACTAAAGTCAAACTTCCTTTCCTATATTGCAAGCAACAGTGTATTTCATTAGACCCTTAGCCTGCCTCATTTATCCACTGACACCTCTTTCAGACTTCACACCCTTGGGATCATAACACAAGCCTTCCTTTAAAAATGTAAAGGCTCAAGTACAATTTAATGAGCAACTTTTTTTAGTGGATTTGAGACAGGAGTTTAGCATTAAGGTCGTACATGACTTGCGGTTGGCCCTGGACCTCCTCCTCTCTCTGGGTTGGGCTCTGGTTCCTGGACCCTGAGTGGCCGACCTCACTATCCGCTCCATGATCTCGTCTGCAGCATCGTCTCCACAGAGCTGAGTGTCCTCCACAGGTGGCGTCCATGCCGGCATACTGCGACCTGGACCAATCGAGCAGAATGACAAAGGCTTATGTGTGAACAAAAAAACCCTTGAAAGTGCCGTGTATACCCTGTGAGGAACTTCCTGTGACCCTCACCTCCCCGTCCGGGCCGGGATCTTGTCCGTGTCCGAAGCCCCGGTACCCCGGTGGCCTCCTTGTCGCCGCCGCTGATGCTGGTTCTCAGCACGGCCTTCATGTGCTCATGCTCTGCAACATCCTCAGAGTGGCCCAGACCCTGAGGCTGCTCGCTCTCTTGGCTGCCACTAGGGGCGCTGCTGTTGGCGCTGGAGCCGTACCGACCACACTGAAGGGGAGAGAGAATGGAGGACAATAAGAATTTGGCAGCTTGTATTTAAGTATTTTGGGCTGTGGCTCAAACATGCCAAAGCTGGTGCATCAAGGGAAACATCCAACCTGTAAAGATTACAATTCCTGCTCTACTTTATTGACTCATCCACTCAGATGTTATAATCAGTGAGAAGTAAAAGGAAAACTATGAGATAAAGTAGTCCAGTCAGGGTTAGTGGTTTCATGCACACACACACACACACACACACACACACACACACACACACACACACACACACACACACACACACACATGCAGACAGTCAGCACCCTGGTTGATACCTCACTCTCCTCTTCATCATCAGACTACAGAGGAAAGAAAGAGTGAAAGTCAAAGACTAGCTCAAGAGAAAATGAAGCACTAGATTTGGAAAGAGAAGAGCAAGAAAATATAGTTGAAAGCGTGTCTTTGTATGAGAGATTCTGCGTGTGTGTGTGAGGCTCACAGGAGCGTTGACGTCTATGATCATCTTTCCTCGGGTCTTGTTACGTTCGCGGTGGTCAGCCCGTTTCTGTTTCTGCTGCAGCACGCGGTCTCGGGTGGTTCGGTATTCCAGCGCAAACTCGCTGAGGATTTTACTGAACCTGTGGACGCTGATCTCTCTCACACTGTATGCTGGATGGCCGAGGAACAACAGGAATGAATGGAACCTTGGAAAAGAACGAGAACATTTTCCTGTCATCTTCTTGTGGGGATGTATTTTCTCCATTTTTTTGCACAGCTGATTGTATTTATTGCTGCTTAAGATTTATTCCCAAAGTTACTGCACTGGACAATAGAAATTTGAACTACCTGTTGATGATCCTGCGGTGAACAATCTTGAGGATGATAATCCTCTCAGCACAGTCTTTGAGGAAGTCAGACATCTTCTGCTTCAGTTGGGGCTTCATCTCATGCTTGGCGATCACCTTAAGGTGGTCCCATGAGGCCTTGCAGCGCCGCTCCATCTGACACAAGTTCTCCTGCAGCTGGTCGAAATCCACCTGACAGAAGAGACGATGACACAAATAAGGTACTTGTGGAGGTGGTTTTCGACCTGGGCTCTGGGAACCCCCAGGGGTCGTTGAGGCAGTTCCAGGGGGTCCACAGCTAAATTATTTCACAGTTATTTAATTACAAGTAGAAGTTAGCCCAATGAGAGTATGAATAAGAATGAGTATTCTGTTAATTGGATTCACATTCTTCACTCTCTTAATCTGCCACAGATGAACAGTGCTGCCATACTTATAAACAACTCAATCTTATCAGAGGGAATCCCTGAGACTGCATCTAATCAAATACACATCTGTGGCCTGATGTGTGTCAATTTGGGGCAAAAAAGTTTGAGAATAATAATAATAATAACATCCCTACCTTTGTAAACTTTTAACTGTTTGATACATTTTTCAAACTGTAAAATTTTACTTAACAGTTGTTGATTGAACTTAACATCTTAAACAAGAACTTCAGTAAACGTAACTCAATGTAACACTACAAGAACTCACAGGCTTCTATCAATTAAATTCAATTCAAGTTGAGTTCAGTTACTGTAAGTCACATTTCTAGGGCAGCAGCAGAAGTTATGTTTTTAAGTTGAACCAGCTTGAAAATGTTTCACAGCGTAGGACTGTGAAATAGTTTGGATATGAGCTTTCCAACAGTGAGAGCGAAGCGTACTTTAGCAGATCGCGTGATGGCTCCAATCTCGGAGTAGAGGTCGGTGCTCTGAGGGAAGTTCTCCACCACCACAGAGCAGACGTGATGCAGCAGAGACTGCTTATGAACCGTGTCCTTCACCTCTGGAACCTTCTCCAAATATGTCATCTCAAAGCCTTTAGCCTAGATGCATGGACACACACATACACACACACACACACACAAAACAACCAAATATATCAAGATTGAGAAAAGAGTATGCCTGAAGGAGCATCACAAGGTACATCCGTTCTCACCAAATTATAGAAGCTAATATGTGATGTAATTTTTAATGTAGAAATTGCAGGCTTAGACACACACTCTATTAAAATCACTGACCATCTCTACAATTACTCCAAACAAAAAAAGCCTGTCATTATGCCCTAATGTGACAATGTGAACCTGTAATTGTCATGACTCACATTGGTGCCGTTGAGGAAGTTTCCGATAGAGAGCAGCGTGGAGAGGATGTAGCGTAGAGTTTTGTTCTTCTCCAGCTGCTCCATACCCTCCTTCAGATCCTGCAGCGGCTCTGCAACTTCCTGGGAGAAGGAAAACACACACATCATTAGTTGAGTCAATTAAGACTCCCAAAAACATGTGTTTCATGAGTCTACAGTTATGTAAGCAGTTGAACAGGTGCACCTAGTCTCCCACCACAAATCATCCGCTCTCGTCTGAGGTCATGAGAGGTTGTTTAAAGGTTGCTGCCTCGGTCAGCCTCCACTATCAAACGTGCTTCTGATTACACAAAGCTTTTGTTTTCGTGCAGCAGGTCTCTCTTGTGTGCATGTGTTTGTGTGCCGGCGCGGTATGCTGCCCTCCATTAAGCCTCCCGCAACACAACCGTCCCACAGAGTCGAGCCGGGAACGCCGCTCTACCGAACGTGCGGTCAGGAATCGGGCCTTTCATGGAGAGATTAAAGACAACTGCATCCTGTGGAAAGCCGTAAACTTTACAGGACAGAGAGGGAGGGGCGGCGTGTTTTTCATTCTCTGGGTTTTGACTTTGAACTTCTCCTCCTGGACGCATTCTTTGCTCGAGTAAAACATGCTGTGCCAGAAGAAGACGGTGCGGCTAATAAGCGTGCATATTTTGTTATGATGTTGTGATGTAACTATGTTGATGTTTTGCGGATGTTGTTTGTACTAAAAGGGATGTTGATGCTTACTGACACGGGCATAAGACACACACATATGCACACATGCTGTGCACATTTACTCAAACCGTTGGTGCAGAGTTCATTTGGCTTTGTAGGTGTATGCCTGTTTCTGCTTTAATAAAACCACATTCACTCGCTCAGTATGATTTTAAATGTGTGTTTGATAATGGTTCTGGTCTGACCTTCCCTCCTCCACATTCTTATTAAAAGTTTTCTTTTCGTTTTAATTACTAATCGCAACAGCGCTGCCTCGTGTTTATGCAGACCTTCTCGGTCGCCTCGTAGTCCATCTTGAAGGCCCAGAGCTGGAGTCTGGCAGAGAGCTCGCTGATGGAGGACAGAGTGAGGAGGAACTGCTCTGCTGAGCCCAGCGGAACGTCAGGGTTGGCCAGTTGGGCCTCCTGGATCTTCTGCTTTTCCTCCTCTGTGGGAATCATCGTCAGGATTTTCTGAAAGCGGGGACAGAGCAGGATAAGAGAGGACAGCAGTGTGCGAGTGACAGGCGTCCTGTCCGGGGTGAAAGATCTCTCACCTCTATTCCCTCCTTGTTGAGTGCGTACTCGTCAAAGTTAAGTATGGCCGTCTTGATCGTGCGAGGAGGAGGCAGCACCGTCAAGCCGATGTTGATGGCGTTACTCCTCTTGGAATCCAAAACGATGATCTCCTGGCGCTTGCCGTCTGCCGCTGTTTTCTAGGACAAGAAAATACAGAGAGGGTCAATCTCTGCCTCTCTTCTCTGTGTGGTCTGCTTTATGGGCTTGTAAGGATTAGAGGGCTCTACACTCAGGTTACACTGACTGCAGCTGTGGGAAGTATATGGTTAGCAGGGGCAGGAAATATCATTAGGTTAAGTCTGCACAGAGTGCGTGTTTATGTGTGTGTTTGCATGTCTGCAGACTTATTGTCACTGTATGTGAGGACATGAGCTCACCAGCACTTGAGGCCATTATGAGCTATTAAAGGAAGGAAGCTGTATTATATCACCACATAAAAGTGTAACAGAGTAGGTGCTAAGACCTGGTTACTGCCACTAGGAAGTTGTATACTCTCCATATGCAGCCTGGAAGACTTACTCCACAGTACAACTCTGCTGCTATTGAGGTGATACATTTTCCAGTTTATGCTATTTTGATATGTAAGACAAACTTTTTTTTAACGTATACTTTTTGGTGATCAAAATATTTCTATTTAAAGTGTAAAATTTTATATTTTATAGAAATATTTCACCTTACTTGTTAATAGGCGGTACTCTGTGAAACATAAAATGAAGCTTAAGGCAGTTGTGCCCAAACCTTTTTCCTTGGAGGGCCAAAACTGAAACTTACTGAAACACTGGAATAAAGGCACAACAATACAGCACTATGAAAGGTCATCATACATTTGTATTTGTCAAAGACACAGACAGTTTGCAGTGGATTACAGACTGGATCTTCGTCAGGTTTTATTTATATATAGATATACAGACCTGGATATAGATGCACAAACTTGTATACCTCTGGATCTTTATGGATACAGGTCCTTTTTGTCCGGTGTAACAGTGGGTCATGGACTTAAAGCTACTATGCACCTATTGTATGGTAAAGACTCAAAATTGTATAGCATCCCAAGTTCCATTATTAAATGACTGAATAAAACCACACATTAAAAATAAAGCAGCGGTTTATTTTGGCATTTTTAAAAAAAAGTTTGTAGAAACATCTGGTGTGCCAAATAAAGTCTTACTGTGGGCCAACTTTGGCCAGTAGCCCCACTTAGGCAGACCTAAGACTTAAGGCAAACAAGTAAATATTTAAGAGAAAAATAATGTGAAATGTGGAGTAATGTTTTTGTGGCCAGAGATCAAAATGAGCAATGTCTGAAAACTAGCAGAGATCTAAGAAACACACTAAACCATGCAGGTAAAAACTTATGTGAAATTGGTTGTTTTGAACCTTGCAATGTCAAATCTTTTCTAAAACACATACTTGAGATAAGAAAAACGTACAACCTACAGGAGGGAACAAAGTAATATCAGTAATGTTTGGTCTGACCTTTGATGGCTTAAGTACCCTGGTGGTCCTTTAAGTGTTGGATTCTCTCAATAACTGATAGCTTTGCTTGAGCTATTTTCATACTATAGCTTCAGACCACCATCATGATGTCACATTTCGTGTAGACCAGAAGCCGAGCCGAGGTGAGTTACTAACTGGCTCCAACAGAAGTTGCGGTTTTGAAACAGTGGCTCAGGAGTTCAAAGAGTGAAAGGCCCTGTCTTAGAAGACCATACTTTTCTTATTTAGAGGCTTTGTGAGAATTACGAAAAATTCAAAACTCCCCTGTTTGATCAGCTTCAGACATCCAGCTTCACACATGACCTTGCTTAACCCTTAAATCATCAACTTTCAGCATGGGCTGTGTGGCTGGCAAAGGCAAGATGTTAGTGATAAAGCACCAGCCACCGAAGTACATAGAATGTTAGGGTTAACTCTTAATACATACATAATGTGCCTGATTATGAATTTCACATGCACAAATCTCATATACTGGTTCAAGCTAACCAAAAAACATGGCTGTCTTTACCCTAATCAAAAACAAAAATGTCAGATTTTTAATTGGGTACGGCAGCATTCCCTTTGAGCACAGCTGACTCACAGACAAATAAAAAATGTAACGGGCCACGAAGAACAGCTGCAAGACGCATTACTCCTCTAACTGCTGTCAAACCCCAAACACTTGTCAGTCCATTATGTGTGATGTAAGATGAACAAATAAATGAATAAACTGGCAGCACTTCCCTTTGTGCCATTGTGATAAATAGCTGGATTAGTCAAAGCATATGTTCATACAGTGAGAATATAAACCGGTGTTCCCAAACCTCTCTGAACCCGGTTCAGGCACTGGTTGTTTACCTTTGTAACTGGTATTTCCTTTGATTTCGACTCAAACAGATGTTCAAGTTTGGCTGTGTCCAACTTTACTGGTTCCAGTTTGGACCAGAGCGAGTCTCCACTACGCTTGTAGCTGCTGTACTGAGAGTCTGTCTGGCGCACCTGATCACAAAGAAGGAAAAAGGAAAAGGATGGACGGCATTAGGTAGAGACAAGTGTTAGACTCTCATTTCCAACAATTAAAGAGGTAAATGACTCTGAACAAGAAGAACCACAGATATAAAGCATCAACAGGAATATTGTGGGTATAATGGTTAATTTTGTTCCTAATGGTAACTGGCGAATGAAAATGATGTGTGAACAAGAACAGAGCCTTAGTTGTACCTGACTGATGGAAGTGGTAGTAGTACCCTGACTCACCTCGCTCCAAAAGAGCCTGATTGTCTTCTTCTTCTTGTTGAAGAGAGGCGGCTCCGGGGGTGGAGGCACTGGCATTGGGGCACTAAGACAAGGGGGAGGTGGAGGCCTCATCATCCCAATCAAAGGAGGGGGTGGTGGGCAGCTGCCTAGCATTGGAGGGGGTGGGGGGAAGCGGGGTAAGCAGGGTGGAGGAGGCGGCGGAGGCGGGAGGTCGCTGCATCCTCCCATCAAAACAGCATCCAGAATGTTCTTGTCATCGTCCTCTGTCAGGTCGGTGAAGTTGATGTCCCCGATGCGCAGCTCTCGAGGGCTGGCCAGGAGCTGGTCCCAGATTGTGTCTGATTCCTTTTTGGGAGGGGGAGGAGGGGGCTCGTTGGCTGGGCATTCCAGGTTTGGGTGGGGCGAAACAAGGTCCTTGATCAGTGCTCCAAACCGCTCGGCGAACGGTCGGATGGTCCCGCGGTGGTCTGAATTGTCAGATCTGTTGTCGCCCTCCTGGTCATCGGCCAGTTGCCCGTCTGCGTCCTCCTGGGTTTCTTTGTCCTCCTCCTCCTCTTCTTTCTCTTTCTCTTTCTCTTGCTCCTTCTCCGCATCCTCTTCTTCCTCCTCCTCATCACTGGGCTTCTTATTGTGGGAGTACAGCATGTCCAGCATGAAGAGCTTGCTGTTGATGAGTTTGCTGCACTGCTCATTCACCTCTTCCTCCTTAAAGCCTGAGAAGGAGGTCGTTAAAAGGAGAGAGAGAGATGTAAGAAAGAGTGCATGCCATTAGCCTTTGTGAAGGAGACTTTAAATCAAACTACTTTAGAGTGTGAACTGAAGTACAAAAACATTATGATATATAATGCATATGTACATTTACAATCATTAAGGGCACTCCATCAATTTTACGCAAGGTTCAGAGTAATACTACTCTATACCTACTACTATACCTACGATAACAGAATTATAATTAAATAACATATAGCAAAATACAGCCGATAATTTCAGTGAGCTTATGAGAATTATAGCCGAATAAAATCCTTAAAAGCAATTTAAAACTAAACTTTGAAATATAACTAGAATGGGTGATCACCATATAGTCTAAAACTACCCACCATTCTCATTGCTCCCCCTCTCCTCTCTCTCTAGAGTGCTGCTGGCGGAGGAGATGCTGGAGGCCGAGCAGTTGTCCTTCTCATTCACTTCCTCATTCTGTCGTTCCTTGTCGCTCAGGATGCCACTGTCCTCCTCTGCCTCCTCTTTCTCCTTCTCAGGTTCCTGCTCACACTCCTCGCCTTCCTCCTCCTTCTCTGCTGCCACTTCCTCCTGCACTTCCACCTCTTCCTCTTCTTTCTGCTCTTCCTCCTCTTCAGGAGTGACCTCTTTTTCTTCTGTGTCTACACTGGCACTGGAGTCATCAGCCTCTCCTGTCACAAAAAAAAGTTTTACTTTCAACGCAGGTTTACTGTCTCATGCCTTGATCAGACTTGCTGCAATCACTCACACAGAAACACACTGTAAGGTGCGTGACTTATCTCCAGTAAAATACAGTTTGAAACATGTGACACGGCTGTCTTTGATTTTAAAGGCGTCTCTGTTCAGGCTGCCAAAGGGACACTACTGTATCAACTCACACATTGACAAGAAAAACAAAAACACACACCCATACACTAATGTAAACAATGTGGCAGGTACCAGGATATGAACAGGAAATGAAGAATTAAGTTCCTGTTTACGTCAAAACACACTCATGTACATGGTGCAAACACGTAACTCAACAGTACAGTCCATGCAGTGATGCAGGCGGGGTTAGAATAACACGACACTGTGAGGCCTGATTGAGCTGCAGTACCTCGGCTCATGGCTGCGCATGTACTCAGCTCCAAAACAAGGCTGTTTTCTTACACAAGATGTTTTGGCATCACACTTTCAAAAAGGTCTTTCAAAAACCCCTTTGACCCTTTCACCCATATCCTCTCTCTCTCTCTCTCTGTGTTTTTTTTCTTCTTACCCCCCGATGGTGTTCCCCTTCTCTCCCTCATTTTTTTTCCACAATCTGTTTCGCCTCTCCTTCTTTTGCTCATGCCTGCATGCTAATTTAGACGGCAGGCTGCAAACTGAAACAATTTAAGGTTAAGAATGATTGCTTTGGGGCGCACAGTTGGGAATTGAACTGGCAACCTTCCGGTTTTAATTATAATTCCCCAAAGAATTAAAAGTCATACAAGTGCTCTGAACAACGAGAAATTGAGCACACACAGCCTTAAAGTTATGATATACTGATGTCAAATTGCCCGTTTGTGATACTCTTTATGTCTACATTTTTTAGCAATAACCATACAATGTATGTACCGTACATCCAGTAGTTACGTCTCTACATGGTTATTTTCATTGTTAGTGGTGGAGTCCGCCATTCACTGGAGCAGAATAAAATCAGATTGCGGTTGCAATTGTTATTGATCGACTTCTTATTGATCCAGTTTGTTTGTCTGCACTGTAAAAAATGTACAGTTGCTCAATTTTGACAAAGTAGCTCCTTAAGGAGTGTTAGTTACTGCTATAGTATTAAACCTGTTACCACAGTAACCACTGGTGTCGCCACATCAACCCTGACTAAAATCTTAAGGATTATTACTTTAAATTGTGTTAAATTCAATATTTCTACCATCATTATTCAGTCTTCTCGTTATCTTATCATCTTGACTTGTTAATAACTCACATCCTCACAGAGACACCATGTTAATTTGTTAATACTGTACGTAAAGCATCTATATATGGCAGTATTCTCAGTTGTCCTACCGGTCTCAGAGGGCGTGTAGGGAGTGGCAGGGGTCCTGGCTTCAAGGTCAGCCTCTGCGTCCTCCTGGGAGGCGAAGGAGGATGGGGTGCTGCTGCGTGATGACGAAGGCCAGGCCTCTGAGGGTTCAAAGGTCAGGTTGAGGTCAGGGCGAGTCCTCGAGACCCGGACGCGCTCCTTCTCATACTCCTCTGCCGCCAGACGCTCCACGTTCTTATACCTGAAGGAGAGGGAGAGAGAGAGAGAGAGAGAGAGAGAGAGAGAGAGAGAGAGAGAGAGAGAGAGAGAGAGGGAGGATCAGAGAAGGAAAGGCAAAAAAAAGAGTCAGAGACAATGCATCTTCTGTCTTGTTTTTTCTCCGCAGTGCTGCTCTCAGTGTTGGCCAAATTGCCCTGAACTACACTAGTTACGACTCTTTCCAATTTACTTGCATTCATCAAAAACTGCCATGCCACCTCTTCACTCTATAAGCCCACCTCACTCCTCTACCTCGGCCTATTAATCGTCCACAGAGCATTCAATGCATTCATCACTCAAATCCTGCAGTCGAGAGTTTCACCATCCTGCTCTCCTCTCCTCTCCTGTCTAGCCAAATGCTCAGCTATCACCATGAGTCCAAATATGGAACCAGAGGGAGTTTAGAGAAGAAGAGACAGAGCTAGGGAAGGGGGGGTGAAGAGGAAAGGAGAACGACAGGAGAGAAGAATGGGAGAGATGGGGAGAAGTTAATGTTAGTTTGGCTGCTGAAAGGCCAAACATCAGAAATGAATCAGAGTAAACCTGTTCAAGATGTGCCTCGATCAGCTCTCCTCCCATGTCCTTTTCCTTCCCTCTCTTCCTCCCTTTCTCCCCCTACCAAACTTTACCACTCAACCTGCTGGGCCAGAACAGAGATTTCGGGCACTGAATCAACCCTCTCTCTCTCTCTTTCTTTCACTAACCCCTCCTCTTTCCCACCGTACCATGAATGTGTGGAGCTTCTGTTCAGAGTTCATTAGCATCAGGCCACTTCAGAGGTCTGAAGAAACTGGATACCAATATATGTGTGTGTGTTTGTGTGTATGTGCATGTGATTAAGAGTGAAATGGAGCGAGTGAGCCAAGTGTGTATTGTGTGCTTCAACTTGGACCAAAACCTTTCTATATGCTACACCCTTAGAAATAAAAGGTGCTGAGTGATCGTTTGCAAACCACTCTAACATACCAGACCCTCGCTGTTAGTACTGTTTATGTCCACAAACCCCTTTTTTGATAAGCTGTTTACTGTATTTGTCTGTCTTAATCTGAACTCAACAAATACACGTAGGTATTAGCAAATATTGAGCTGATATTGCTATTGTATTAAAAAACTGTTAACACTCAGTCAGGAGTAATATTACTGATACCATAGGTGACAATGATGATGATAAAGTTGATGATGATCATGATTTATTTAATCTTTAGGAACAAGACCAAGAGTCCATGTTAGCAGCTCTGTGGGGCCATACTTTGGTCACAGCACTGCTATGAGCTAAATGCTACTTGCTAAAACATCAGCATGGTAACATGCTCACAATAATGATGCTAACATGTTTAGCAGGCATAATGTTTGCCATGTTCGCCATCTTAGTTTGGTGTGCTAATTAGCCCTTTGTCACCAGCAACTAAGCAATAAGCAACATAAAGTAAAGACGAGGAACTGAACCAAAGTTCCAGAGGAGAAAAACATTTTGTGTTCAGAGGCTTTAACAAGCCAAAAATATTTGCTACATGCTTCAGGAATCCTGTGTCTGTCCAACTCCAGTGTGCACGCCATTAACAATCGTATTTGGACCCAGTTGTCTGTCATTAACGCCATCATATTTCATGCAAGTCCATTTTGTCCAGGTGTTACAGTACTAGTATCTAGTCAGACAGATGTGTCCCTTAGGGAGGTGAGCCGGGTTAAAAACTCATGTTTTCCTGATAACCGTGACGCCCAAATACACCATAAATACATCAGCCTCTACTGTGGATACATCTCCCACGTGCTCACTCAGCAGCTCATCTCTCTTCCTGGCTTTCTGTCCACCTTTGTCTGTCTTGTGTCTTGTTTCCTCTGTCTGTTACTGAATCCAACCCCTTTTGTCTTTCTTTGCTCATTCTCTCTCTTTCTATTCACTCAGCCTCTCTGACACTGTGTGTTATTGTATCGACGGTGCTTTAAATTGAGGGTGAAAGAGGTCTAAGCCTAAAGGAAAAGCACTTGGCACAGTACGTAGACTGTCAATAGAAGAAAATGAGGAGGAATAGGGCGGAGAAGGAGAAAAAGAAGAGTGAATTTTAAATCTGACCTCACATACCCTCTTGAGTAAATCTCTTGCTTCCTGTGATTCCCATTTGCACACACACATGCACACATTTATTAGCCTCATGAAAATTCTTCTTGTGCGTGCGTTTAAACGTACGTGTGCTTAAGTAAAAAGTATGTGCATTCAGTGTGAAAAGCTTGACAAATCCTGGAATCTGATTTCCTCACAGCATGCAGCCAAAACAATCCAGCCCTTGGCAGAGTGTGGCAGTTAAAATACAACTCCTTATGAAAGGAGAAAACAGGCAGACAGAGCAAAGAAAATCAGTTCAGTATCCCCCCAGCCTCTGGCAGCAAAGGGCACCTTTTTAACCTGAAAACAATTACACTATTACTGAGCTTCCCAAACCACAGGCTGAAACATATTCCCTGTGGGCTCAGCTGTTCTGTGAGTGTGTGTTGTTTTCATTTAGTGGACACACTTACCTCTCCTCCCGCGCAAGCCTGGCCTCTTCCATTTTATCCACATAGTCGCGACTGTGAGAGAGACACAAACAGAGATTTTTAAAACATAATAATCAAACCCTCTTTCTTCATTCTCTATGGTAACTGTTGTTACTGTACACTTAGTAAGTAATATATTAAATACAGATATTTTCATTTATACTTTTTAACTTATTTGCATGCTATTTATTCTGTTATTCATTTTATTATATTTCCATTTGTGCAGTCATGCTTATTCTTCCCTTGTTTGTTTCCTTTGTTTAATCCCTGCTATTATCCATATCAATATTCATTCTACAGTAATCTATTTTATCTACCCTATCTATATTAGTATCTACTGTATGTCTTTCACACTGCATGGTCGTCATTTTTTTATTTATAAGTGTGAAAATGATAAGCAGTTTTAAGGCCAGGCGGGTGCTCATGAGAACAAGAACCATCAAACAGACTAAATTGGTGACTGAGAGTCCACATGGAAAATTCTGTTCAGGTACAAGCCTATTTAGGAGGCAGGTGGGTCTCATGAAAGACACTTTTGAACTGCATTATGGAAATTGTTACAGCACATTTGGAGCTTGGCCCATAGTAGAGACAGAAAGTCAGGATGTTTCTACCACTGCTGTTTCAATTTTGGAAATACAATACCAAAATGCTAGAGTACCCCTTTACTTTTATTTCATTTTTATGTTCATATTCTCAAACTGCTTTAAAAAATAATGCCAAGTCAGTCTCTCACCTGTGCTTATTCCTCTCCTCTCTCTCTATCCTCTGAAGTCTCTCCTCTCTTTCCACACGGCGGCGCTCTCGCTCGGCAGCCAAAGATTCCTGGTGTTGTCGGTATGAGGAGGATAGAAGACCTCCCAAAGCAGGCCTGAAGGAAAGAGAGAGAGAGAGGAAAATGTTTCATTACACCACTGCACAGTCAGTGTAATGCTGTGATCCTCAAGCACCATTTAGGATTCTGAAACTACTTCAGCACGGTGAGATAATGAACATTTCTCTTCTTTATCATCTATTGATTATCTTGCCACGTATAAAACATTTAGATGATGTTCCAAAATGAATGCATCACTGCTGCACCATTGTGTCATGTGTAAGTATGTACGTAATATGCCATAAATAAGGTTTTAATGACCATATTCTCCATGGGGGAAATAGGAACAGCTTAGTAACTAGGGAGCCCAAGAGCTGAGATCACATTCACTTCAGCATGTCATCAGCATGATGCACCACCAGGCTGCACACAGTGCACTTGTTAGACATCTGAGTGTGTGCATGTTTATTCAACCAAACACACATGGACGTTCATGGTAAACAAGTGTAGGATATTTTCATGTGTGTGTGCAGACACATGTTGCTGCAGACTCCTCTCACCTGGAGCTGGTGGGCGTACTTGGGGTGCTGAGAGAGGAATAGGACCCGACACCACCATTCCTGGGTGAGAAAAAGGGTGAGTTACACGACACCCTGCTGACTAACTCATGTGTGCAAAACTGGTGGTAAGAAACGAATGTGACACCTTGTTACATAACAGGAATGCTGTTGGTGCAACACTAGAGTGACCCTAATTAGTAACTGCTGTAGTGTTTATTCCCTTATGTTTCTGGAAGATTTCAGGCAAGCTGTATCTGCTCTCTTTAAAGTTCACTGTGAATCTGAGAAGACCCTTTAGCCAGAGTAAGCATGCAACAATTTTATTTTTTAAGTGTCTGGTGTGTTATTTAAGGTTCTGGTACCACATGCAAAATAACAAGGTGGAATATTAATATATTGCAAAGGTGTAGCTGTAGTCATGTAAGCATATTTCGAGAATATTCCCGTTAATCATAGGTGAACACATGGAACTCAGTGTGTTTGAATATGTGGCATTATTTGTGAACAAGGCTGTAAATGGTAGCATCCTGAATATAGCATTATCATAACATATGTATAGGTGAGGTGTAGATCTATCCAGTAACACAATAATACTAGACAGTTATAATATCAAGATACACAGTGAAGGGAGAAAGTAAGGTTGAGAGAGTTCTAATTAAAAGATGAAGCTAAGAAGCGAGAAGTGACACTACAGATATACAGGTGAAGAGATGAAAAAAGGCATCTGTGAAAACACTACTGTTCTTGTGCTGCTCTTGAAAATAAGGGAGAAGCCATGGCATTGGGAAACAAAAGTGAGGATTGCAAACAAGTGTGGAGCATCCACGCAGTGAAAGAACTAAGAAAAAGAGATGCGAAGGAACAACAGGTGATAATAACAGCGTTGACAGACTGAAGGTGTGAAGCCGTGCAGTCAAAGAAGTGAAAAGAACTGGTGAAAAGGGGAGGTGACGAATAACAAAAGTGATGCAAAGAAATCCAAGCTGGTGCCAGGATAAAAGCCAGAAACAGAAGTGGAAACTGAAAACGGAAAAGTGTAACATCAGAGAGATGCAAGGAAAGCTTTTTGTGCTTCTTGAACTCATGGGAAATTGAGTTCTGTTGTCCGTCTGACCTGGGAGACGTCGTTTTGGGAGATTCCTCACTGGGTTTGGCGGGAGCTGGGGGCGAGGGCTCCTCGTCGAGGTCGTAGGAGAAGAGGTGGAAGGGTGAGTGGGGCAGGTAGGGGAGGCGGTCGGGGGAGGGACGGGAGCTGCCGCGCAATGGCGGGCTGACCTCCTTGGTAGCCGGGACAGTGACAATGGAGCGCTTCCTGGCCAGCAGCGAGGCCAGAAGGGAAGGTTGGGCTGGGGGGCTGAGAGGGGAGGAGATGGGAAGAGAGGAGGTGGGGGTAGACGGGGAGTGGAGGGTGGGTGCTGGAGGTGGTTCAGTCCGATTACGCTGCTCCTCCTCTTTCATATTCTCCTTTTTGGAAGTGATGGTGATGGACTGGAGGGTTGTTCGGTGAACTATGGATGGAAGATGTCTAGCCGGGCTAGAAACAGAGGAATGGATTGAGAGGAATAAATGGATGAAAGCATAACTGTGAAAAGAAGAAGTAGTACCGTGTGCACAGGGGTTACAGAGTATTGCACTGATACTAATAACTACCAAGTACACAGGCCACAAGGGGATCAACCACATATACAACCCGAAAACAGTGACAAAGCAGACATTTTGTGACAGATTTGACCACAGGACCTAAATTCATTTGCATGTTACCACCATGTCCTAAAATACCTGGGGGTGGTCTGTTTAGACACTGTATCAGCCCCCTCCTGTTCATCCGAATCAGACTCAGTCACTGGAGTCTCTTCTTCTTCTTCTTCCTCCTCCTCCTCCTCCTCCTCCACCTCCTCCTCTATCACATCCTCACATTCCTCCTCTCTGTGGAGGGTGGGGGGTAGGGGGCAGTGGATGAATGGACGTATGGGTGGAATATTTAAGGGAAGGATGGAGGGAGAGATGATGCGATACATAAGAAAAGCATGCAAATGGAAAACACCACAATAAAGAAATAAAGAGATGGATCAGAGGGAGGGGAAAATGGAGGGGTAGATGAGACTGATGTGTGGAAATAATGTTGACAGATGCACAACCAAACCACACAAACATTCATGATGCTCAAAGACAACAAACACTGACATGACATTTATCAGATGGAGATAAAGTGATAGAAGAACAAAAGAAGAGAGGAAACACAGAAATGAAGTAGGAGAAAGCGGGGATGAATGTTTCTCATTAAACACTCCATGCCTCCAGATAGGTCGTTTTACATGCACACAAAGACAAAATATGATGACAAGGAAGAGGGAAAGGAATGCTAAGAGGAGAGTACGCCATGGCTTAACAATTGACTTGAGATCAGCGTCGCTGAACTGTTTCGTCTAGTGAAACCAGATGAGCCTTGTTGCAGTCGAGTCGGCGTGCGCCGCCAGGTGTTGTTCCACAACACCAGAGCCATGTGTGTGTGACGAATGGGAGGGCCAATAAAAGTTGTGTTTGTTTTTCTGTGTGTGCATGCATTATATGTAGCCGGATGAAGACTCTCACATGGACAACTCAAACCCTTACTTCAATAAACCATATTCTAATGGATTTCTCTCACATTTTCACTTCTGTTTCAGGATACAAATGTGTGCTAACATCTTGCACACAAACACCATTTTAACACTAGCTGAGGCATGGGACATAGTCGTTCATGTTACACACTGACAGGATGAAGAGATGAAGGGAGGAGGCACATGAAGGGAGTGAAAGAGCTTCAACGGATGAGATTACATAGAGAGGGAATATTTACCTGAGGTAAACAGCTCAGCCGGCTCCAAATTCCCCTATTGGTGCATTCACACACGGCACTGAAATAAGCCTGTGCTGGTTTAATAATGTGTACGCTTGTATTAGAATTACAAGCAAACTGTAACGGCCGGTGCGGCTGTTGAGAACTTTTATATTTCATTTAGTGGAGCACAAGTCTGCACCAGTGTTTCATTGCAGAATAAAAAAAACCCCACTCAGAGTGCTTTATGTGACATGAGACACACTAGTAGCTGTTACAGCATGTATGTGAGGAGCAGTGGCAGGAAAACAAAGGCCTTTTTTGAGTGAGGCCTTTGAACTTACATGGATGGAAGAAAACCTGACAGTGCACTGGAGCAGAAAGTGTTGGTACAAGACAGTCAGAATTTCACTCTTGAGCTCATTAACAAATGTGCATCCCAAGAGTGTTGACTATTTGGCACCATAGTCATTCTTTATGCCTGCTGGAAACAATCCCCTTTTCCCCTCTGCTCTGTTATGTCACTTTTTATATTACCATTTAACTTCTGACACTCTTCCATCTTCTCTGTCTCTCACCTCTCACTCATGTCCTCAGCTCTCTGTCCACTGAAAGGCTGGAAGCCGGCTCTCTGCGGTGACGCAGGACTGCAGGGAGAGGCGTGACCGGACCGCCCAAGAGAGGCCCTGCGGCTCCGCCTCCTCTCCAGGCCACACTTTTTGTCCCCGCCTCCGAGGCTGACCCGCCGGCGGTCCCGGCGTACCAATGGTGGAGGCTTGCTGTCATCGTCACCATCTTCATGCCGTAGGGTCATCTGGGGGAAAAGTTGATTGGGTGTGAAGTGGGAGTGGTGACGGGTGCTTCACACAGATCATTTTAGTATTAAGCAAATGTACTATAAATACTGTATAGAGTCATATTCACTGGATGTGAGCAGCACTTAGTAGCTGAAACCTGATCTTGAATAAGAAGCAAATATCAGCTTTCAATAATTTCCTTGCAATCTCATGACTTTGTGTGTCTCAAACCTCATAGATGTTGAGTTGCTCAACCAAGTCCAGATCAGTGCCTTTTCGCCCCAGGTGTCTTTGGGACACTGTCTCCATACCCTGTTCCTCCAGACCGTCCACCATATCATAGAAGGAATCCTGGTCAGGCAGTGCTGCCAGGGTCTGCAAACAGAAAAGGATATGTCATATTGCATATTAATTTCATAGTCTTGTTTAGTTTTGGTTGGATTAAAACACTTGAAATTAATCAGAAATGAGAAAAGAAAATGCTTTTAAAAAGTACCAGCTGTCACATCAGGGTTATATTTTCCTGTATCCAGTACGTAATGATAAAAAGTATATAAACATTAAGTGCAAAGACAGACATGGACACCTTATTGATGAGGGTCATGGCGTAGACCAGCAGCTCTGTGTCCACTCCATCCTTCTCATGCAGGATCTCCATAGTATTGGACCATGGCTTGCAGCCTGGAAATAAGTCCATTACAGATAAAAACATGAATTATTTTGTCCCTCTCTACCCAACCACACCTCCTTATATATCAGCCTTGGCAAGAAACCAAACAATTACAGTTAATAGCAGAAGCTAACAGAGTAAGGAAAGTTATTTATACCTCTCTTGGTGTCCACAGAGGTGATGGCTTCTATCAGCAGTGGGGTGTTGGATTCGGAGTACTCCACAAACACCAGCAACAGCTTCAGGGCTGTTTTCACCACCAAGCGGAACTGGAGTTGTGGGGGGGTAAGAAGTTACAAACTTATGTGGCAAGAAGCAATACTTACAATGGATATATTATGGTGCTCTGACCAACATTCTGGAAGACTGTAATTAGATTACCAGGCCGACTTTATGTGTAATAGATTCAGCAGTATTGGCCAGCAGGAAATACACATGAACTTATTTATTTATTTTTCTATTTGTATGTCTGTGAATATTATGTTGTCTTTGTTTCCTAACTTCAGATTCCTGACGTCCGGCACTGTACATTGCAGCCGGTATGTGTGCTTTCGTTTAGATAGCTCAGTGTTGATGTAATTTCCTGACAAGTTTAATGACAGGTAGGGAGTGTATTTGTTGCAGATGTGCTATGATATGGCCACATTGAAAATAAATCAAATTAGACATTTCTAAAGCAAAAAATAAAAAAATAAAACAACGTTGAGCTTTAGGCACTAGAATTAAGACTGATACTTTCAGTGCAAAGCAGAAGAGTACCTTTAAAAAATAATGAAGATACCACAAAACCATCAAAAGACACCACCCTCAGGTCAGGACACAGAATACAATCAGTAGCAGATGTGTTTGTGTGTGCGTTTCTGGGTATAAAAGCTAAAAATAATGTTTACCACACAATGAATGGCTAGCTCAGAGCTGATGACTGCTTGCAGTGTGCATGTGTTGAGGCTGGTTTTCGTTTTGTTTTATTTTGGTGTGTGTATGCTCAGCTATACCTTTGAGCCCACCAGAGTGTACAGCCACTGGATTGTCTCAGTGTGCCCAATGACACCGTTCATCCCGTCTACATACAGCATGATCTGCCCCAGGGCTGAGAGAGGGGGAGGAGAAAGAAAGAAAAAGTTGGAGACAAAACAAATACAGGATGGTGATTCAACACTTACTGTAAACAAACCAAGCACACCCACTGGCAACTGTGTGCAGCTCACAGATTCATGAGCAGTAGCTATAATTAACAGGGAAAGCCATCAGGGATTAAGGGTTTCCTTCCTAGTATTTACAGGACATGCTGTAACTGTTCTGAACATTGTATGTACCTCAGTATTTATGCTTTCACTATAGACAGTTTTGGGTTATCAGCTTATGGAAAGTATATTTTAGTAGTACTTATTTCCATTTGAAACTATACTTTATAAATCTACTTCACCTCATTTCAGAAGAATATATAAGTTTTACTCCATTTATCTGACAGCTATAGTTACCAGTTACTTTGTAAACAAGAATTTATATTCAGAACTTATCAAATAAATCATATTATTATAGACTAAACTATCCAGCAGTATATTAAGTAGATTACATATTAATGAGAAGTAATAATTAATGAATAATGTAACATATGTACTTTTAATACTTGAGACATTTTGCTGGTAACACTTCTACGAAACTAGGAAGTCATTACTTGTAATGTAGTAATTTTACATGGTGGCACTGCTAGTTTTACTTAAAGGATGTGAATATGTCCAATATGAGGTGTTTGATGAGAAGGTAGCACTCATTTACATGTTTTCCTTTTCAAGTTATATTTAAACAAAAGTCAGTAGGGCAACAGAGCAGCCACTGTTGAAGCTGTCATCTGTTGCTGTACGTCAAAGTGCAGATTGCATTACAGCCAAACCATGAGTCAAAGTGAAAGTTAATTCTCATATCTTATTTCCACATATGTTAAATCTAGGTTTCAGTGACAGGTGAACACGACTCACACGCAACACTAGTAAGAAAGCCGAGAGAGTACCTTAGCTCCCATCACATCCCATCTTAATTTTGCATTTGGACTCAATGGGGGAGGTTGACAAAGACATTTGGCAAAATCTAATTAATGCTAAACACATTAGCTGTAGGAAATACTGCTGGTTTATTCAAAATGAGTGAATATTTAAAACAAAACAATTTCCATTTCTGTTCATTTCTGTAGCTGTCGTCTGTTGCTCAGGGGTGAAAGGTTAATCTGTAAATTGGACTGCATTCATATACTGCAATGTCTTACAATTAGCTTCCCATTCACCCACCAATGGCAGCAAGCTATGACACTGGTCTAAACATTGGGACAAGTAGGGATTCAGTGTTTTTGCTCAAGGACATTTCGACATGTGGACAGGGGGAGCTGGAGATCCAACCAGACCAAGCAGTCTACATCTGCCAGAAACCACTAAGTAAGCAGTCTAAATACAACAAAATCAAATCATCAGTTTGAATCAGGGTTCTTTAAATTAGGCTAATGAAACGATGCTGTGCTGTATTGAAACCTCCAACGAATGTGAGTCAGCTTGCCTAGTGAAAACTAGTAATTCCAAGTCCACAGAAGGGAAGTCAGGTTAAGCTCAGTGGTATGTGGGATTCATTTTTTCATTTAGTTTCTCATGTAGTGCAAATCAACAAGGGAATATAAGCACCTTGATTAATAAAGCTCTAGGGGTTTCAGTCCTTCTGAAAATGGATCTGAAAATGGAGCAGAAAATGGGAAAGATTTGGAGATGACTTAATTATTTTTACTGACTCACACTGTATCCAAATATCATCACTGAAAGAGGCATATAATTGTTTTTACTGTCTAATAGTTGTCATCAGAAGTCTTTATGGGTCCCCCCTTACCCTAGGACCCAAGACCCCAACCGGGAACCGAATGGGTACGAATCCATGTTTTATATGATCAGGTCCGGGTTTGGTCCCGTTCTGCTACTGCGACTCCCGGGTCTGTTTAATAATTATGTGCAATACCCAAGTGGATCTGAGAAGATCTGTCTGGGATCAGACAGCACTGGTCGTGATGGAAATGCTGTATTTGCGTTTATGTGTATTGTAACCTGCAACATTGCAACAGTAGTGGGGACAGCAATTTGGTTCCAAGCAGCACATTTCCAGGTCTTTTTGGGTTCAGGCACACATTTTATGTCCCCTGAATTCCTCTACATGTGATATTGTTTCCCCGCCCCTACTTAAGTACAGCAAAAAAAGACATTTGTAGTCAGTATGTTTCCATAAAGTATGAATGGAGAGATTATTACAAGCATTTTGCATTTTTGCAGCTCCATTTCCTCCTTGATCTATTACCAAGTTTCAAATTGTTGATGATGTCAAGAGGGAAGAATGTAGAACCGGTTTCTTGCATAGTTGTTGTTTATTGAAGTTAAAGTGAAAGACAATTCTCATACTCCACAAACCACACACAACACATGCAAGAGAAGGAAGCAACAACTTTGCTCTTATCCTCCGCAACCATGTATTTGGGCTCAAACTTGAAAATTGAAATTATATCTTCTCTTCTTGGACAAATTATTAAACCCTATGACAAGAAAAGATGTGGGAGAACAGCACACATTTTGTCTGTTGATGATTTTCATCTCCACAACCTCATCGGGAAACAAGAGGCTTATGTGAAGGAACCTTTAATCAATGAAGAAGATTTTTTTGACCCACAGTATGACTGCGACTTCACTAATCTCTCTGACTCGGCTGAGTGTAAGAGAGGTGATGAGCTTTATGAGCGGCCAAAAGGGTGGTACCGCATGGCGTTGAGGGTCAAAGGTAAATATCCAGACGGAGACACCTGGTTGGGCCCAGATGGGTGGAGGAGTCACTCTGTACCTGGAGAATGGCCTGTTTCCTACCATGGAACAAGCTTAGATGGAGCCAAAGGCATCATCAGAAGTCACTACAGTGCAGGAGATAGAGCAATGTATGGAAGAGGAATCTACTCAACACCAGACATACATGTCGCTGAGAGAGAGGAATATGCCAAGACCTTCACATCGGAGAGTACAGGGAAAAGTTACAAAGTGATCCTACAAAATCGAATCAATCCAGAAAAGAGAGAGATTTGCCAAAGAGATGACTACTGGCTCATTCCTGTTCATGAAGGAACATCTGCCAAGGAGGAGAAAAAGATAATGGAGAGCTCTATTCGACCTTACGGCATTCTGATTAAGAAATTAAAGGACGATGACGAGGGAGATGAGGATGGTGACCGTAATGACGATGGCAATGATGACGACAATGACAGCAAAGATGGTAGCAAATCTTATGATGGCAGTGTCGATGATAATTGCAATGGCGATGGAAATGGCTATGGTGATGGGGATGGCAACAACGATGAAAGCGATGATGGTCCTGATGTCGATGACAGTGAAGACGATGACGTCATCAGTGGCGATTATGATGACGACAACGATGGCAAACATGATGACGCCAATGTCGATGACATTTTCCATGATGATGATGATGATGATGATGAAAATGGCTCTGGTGATGGCGATAACGACGGCAAGGAAAGCGATGATGATGGCAATGTCGATGGCGATGATTATGATGACGAGGAAAATAACAACAGCACATACGATGATGAAATTGTTGCTGACAGTTGCAATGAAGATGAGGATGACAGTGATTACAATGACTATGATGATTTCGATGACAGTGACAGAGGCAGTGAAGATGATGATGCGTGGAGTTGACACATCTGCTGATTTCATTGATGTATAATTAGAGCGAGATCACTCGTGTATATAATTTATTGTCATCCTTGGTTTAAGTATTTTTTTTTTTTTACTTTTGGGTGGCTTTATTGCCTTTAATCGATAGTGATAGCTGAAGGGTCACAGGAAAGGGGGAGAGAGAAAGAGAGGGGATGACACACAGCAAAGGGCCACAGGTCGAAGTCAAACTGGTTTAAATATTTATAAACTGATACTGGGCCAAAGTTGTCTGAATAGAGGATCGATAGCAAATACAAATTACTTTGTTTTGTCAAAGAGTTTCTGGCTTGGTTCGCTGCTCATATGATATAGTAAGTAAGTAAAATGTATTTATATAGCACTTTTCACAGACATAAGTCACAAAGTGCTTTACAGTTCAAAGTGCTATACAATGTATAGTAATTAACAGTTGTTGTTTCTGTAAGTATTTGTTTTCATTTAGAATGAAAAAAGATGTTCTGTCTGTCATTCTCATATGGTAAAAAATTATGGACCTAAACATAAAACTCTTTTAAAGACCCTGAAACCCCATTTCCTCTATCAGGTTCTGACTATGAGCGGTAGGTTTGAACTAGAATAAACAATTTTCTGTCAAAAATATTAAACAATAATACAATTAGTCATTTTATATGATAATTCTGTATTTGTGTTTCGTCTGTACTACTCTCCCTGTTTTAAGTAGGCAGGCCCGATGGGGAAAAACAGGAAACGTGTGACCGCACCCACACAGTTCTGAAAAGAAAAGTAACAGAGGTCTTGAGTGTTAATCTCTTCACATATAACTAAGGATGTTTGGTTTAAGTGTTAAGTGTTTACTGTTTTCACAGACATAAGTCACAAAGTGCTTTACAGTTACAAAGTACTATACAATGTATAGTTATTAACAGTTGTTGTTTCTGTAAGTATTTGTTTTCATTTAAAATGAAAAAAAAAAACGTTTTTTTTTTTTTTTTTTTTTTTTTTTTTTTTTTTTTTTTTCCAAATTGGGGTTTTTTTTTTTTTTTTTTTATATTTATTTTTTTTTTTTTTTTTTTTTTTTTTTTTAAAAAATTTTTTTTTTAAATTTTTTTATTTTTTTTTATAATTTTTTTTTTTTTATTTTTTTTTCTTTTAAAAAAAAAATGTTCTGTCTGTCATTCTTCTATGGTAAAAAATGATGGACCTAAACATAAAACTCTTTTAAAGACCCTGAAACCCCATTTCCTCCATCAGGTTCTGACTATGAGCGGTAGGTTTGAACTAGAACAAACTATTTTCTGTCAAAAATATTAAACAATAATACAATTTGTCATTTTATATGATAATTCCGTATTTGTGTTTCGTCTGTACTACTCTCCCTGTTTTAAGTAGGCAGGCCCGATGGGAAAAACAGGAAACGTGTGACCGCACCCACACAGTTCTGAAAAGAAAAGTAACAGAGGTCTTGAGTGTTAATCTCTTCACATACAACTAAGGATGCTTTGTTTTAAGTGTTAAGTGTTTACTGCAGAAGAGAAATACTGATTTAAAACCAAATAAAAGATAACTTGTGTTTCACCAAGTAAATGCTTTTAATGTGAAGCTGCAGTTGTAGGAAATGTTTGGTTTGCATTATCTTAATACAGCATTGTTTCCAGGAATGTTGCAACACACACCCAGTTTGTACTTCAGTGATAGCTAACTAGATAGATAACTTGGCAGACATTAATTTAATGTAAAATCTTCAAGAAAAGCAACATTTGTGAGAGTCATTCCAACAGACTATAAAAGAGGTATTTGTTTGCTTGATGTCAAAGCAACCAAGCAGCAGAGATTCTTCCAGTTAGGAATCAAAATGAAAGTGAAAGAAAATTCTCTTGTTAAAAATAGTTTTCAGTGTAGAGAGAGAACTCAGCACACACGCATTGTGAACGAGAGAAGGAAGCAACAACTTTGCTCTCATCGTCCTCAACCATGTATTTGGACTCAAATTTGAAATTTGAAGCTTTGTCTTCACTTCTTGGAGAAAAAGTTAAACCCTATGACAAGAAAACATGTGAGGCAACAGCAGATATTTTGACTGTTGGTGAATTTCTTCTCTGCAACCTCATCGGGAAACAACTTGTGACTTACTTGAAGGAACTTTTCATTGATGAGGAAGATTTTTTTGACCCAAAGTATGACTGCGACTTCACTAATCTCTCTGACTCGGCTGAGTGTAAGAGAGGTGATGAGCTTTATGAGCGTCCAAAAGGGTGGTACCGCATAGCCTTGAAAGTCAAGGGTAAATATCTAGACGGAGACACCTGGTTGGGCCCAGATGGGTGGAGGAGTCACTCTGTACCTGGAGAATGGCCTGTTTCCTACCATGGAACAAGCTTAGATGGAGCCAAAGGCATCATCAAAGAACACTACAAAGCAGGAGATAGAGCAACCTACGGAAGAGGAATCTACTCAACACCAGACATACATGTCGCTGAGAGAGAGGAGTATGCCAAGACCTTCACATCGGAGACAACAGGGAAAAAGTACAAAGTGATCCTACAAAACCGAATTGATCCTAAAAAGAGAGAGATTTGCCAACGATCTGACTACTGGCTCATTCCTGTTCGTAAAGGAACGTCTGCCAAGGAGGAGAGAAAGATAGTGGAGAGCTCTATTCGACCTTACGGCATTCTGATTAAGGAATTAAAGGAGGACAGTTCATGGGGTTGCATTGTAGTGTAATGAAAAGTTTTTCTTAGTGAGAACTGTCAGAGTGGTCAGTGTCCAACATGAACACACAGTTCTCTGTCATTTTAGGGGACAAGTACAGTGTATTACATTTGCACTTGTGTTTTATTTGTGCTCTTCTATCAGTTTAAAGTAGGCAGGGCAGATGGAAAAAAAAGAAACTTTTAATCAACCACATAAACAGTTCTGATGTCTGAAGATTAACTGAGTTCTGAGTGTTAATCTCGTCACAGATAATATTTTTTACTTTTTTCTTTTCTATTTTTCAGTGTTTACTGTATTAGAGAAATTGAAACCATATTTTCAGATAAAATCAGAACCTAATGATTTATTGTATCAAAGCAGTTTAACTCTATTGTTATGTCTAAATTTGTTCTTTTTCAAAGAAGATTCCATGTTATACCTGAAAAATCTGTTTGCTGATTGTTGATTTATACATTTATAGAAATAAAGAGTTATACATTATCTTCCCTTCAGTGTTTTATTGGTGATGGGGTTTTAAGTGATTTTCCTGCATGACCACACACGGTGGACGTTTTAACAGTTTAACAAATCATCAGGAAACGACAGCACTGTGTTTCTTTCTGTAACGTCTTTACTTCAGCTTCTACTCCCACACCCCAGCTGCTGCACGTCTGCACACACATTTCAACAAATGAATGCGTATTTGAAAGATTGTGTCATGTTCACATTCAGTCACTCATACCAGCTCGGTTGTTACACCTGACAGACATGCTTGTGAATCGTTCAGATATATTATATAAATAAAGAGCTGTAAATGCCCTGCGTTACAATGTTTTCACAGTTGGGGGCTTTAGGAAGAGAAGTTTTGTTCAGGGATAACTACACTAACTGCCCAGCTGCTGTAAGATTGATCACATGGCTGCAAATAGCAAGCCATTAGGCAATTAATAGCAACAAAAACACTCCATAATTATGCAGCTCATGAAATTATTATTCGTGACACATGTGTGACACAGGCTGTTGCTCAGAGGTAGAGCGGGTCGTCCGCTAATCGGAAGGTTGGTTCGATCGGCTGCATGTTGAAGTATCCTTGAGCAAGATACTAAACCCCCAATTGCTCCCGATGCTGTGTGATGAGTGTGTAAGTGTGCTATACAGTGTATAGTAATTAACAGTTGTTGTTTCTGTAAGTATTTGTTTTCATTTAAAATGAAAAAAGTTGTGTCTGTCATTCTCCTATGGTAAAAAATGATGGACGTAAACATAAAACTCTTTTAAAGACCCTGAATACCCATTTCCTCTATTAGGTTCTGACTATGAGCGGTAGGTTTGAACTAGAACAAACTATTTTCTGTCAAAAATATTAAACAATAATACATTTTGTCATTTTATATGATAATTCCGTATTTGTGTTTCGTCTGTACTACTCTTCCTGTTTTTAGTAGGCAGGACCGATGGGAAAAAAACAGGAAACGTGTGACCGCACCCACACAGTTCTGAAAAGAAAAGTAACAGAGGTCTTGAGTGTTCATCTCTTCACAGATAACTAAGGATGCTTTGTTTTAAGTGTTAAGTGTTTACTGCAGAAGAGAAATACTGATTTAAAACCACATTTTTCAGGTGGTTTAAGACCCACCAGCTAAGATGAGAAAATATTTATGAAACCTTGTGGTTAAGTAACTGATAAAATTGACATTTGATTATTTATTTTATCAAAGCATTAACTCTATAGTTAATTTCTAAGTTATTTCTTATTCACAGGACTTTGCTTAATCCAGTTTCCATGCTACACCTGAAAAACCTGTTGGTTAACTGTTCATTTGTTACTGTATATAAATAAAGAGAGGGTTTTCCTATCACTGAATGAGCTTTGAACTCAATATCTGTTGCACTCCTAATTTACATTTTGTACCAATCCTTAAGATTTCAGTCCTGGTTGGTGACACCTGTAGTTACTTATTGCTCCATTACTCCCTGTAATATTTAACACTGCATTTCCTGTGACTACTTCATAATAAAAGATAACTTGTGTTTCACCAAGTAAATGCTTTTAATGTGAAGCTGCAGTTGTAGGAAATGTTTGGTTTGCATTAGCTTAATACAGCATTGTTTCCAGGAATGTTGCAACACACACCCAGTTTGTACTTCAGTGATAGCTAACTAGATAGATAATTTGTGATAACTTTGTGAGAGTCATTCCAACAGACTATAAAAGAGGTATTTGTTTGCTTGATGTCAAAGCAACCAAGCAGCAGAGATTCTTCCAGCTAGGAATCAAAATGAAAGTGAAAGAAAATTCTCTTGTCATGTCAAAAATAGTTTTCAGTGTAGAGAGAGAACTCAGCACACACACATTGTGAACGAGAGAAGGAAGCAACAACTTTGCTCTCATCGTCCTCAACCATGTATTTGGACTCAAATTTGAAATTTGAAGCTTTGTCTTCACTTCTTGGAGAAAAAGTTAAACCCTATGACAAGAAAACATGTGAGGCAACAGCAGGTATTTTGACGGTTGGTGAATTTCTTCTCTGCAACCTCATCGGGAAACAACTTGTGACTTACTTGAAGGAACTTTTCATTGATGAGGAAGATTTTTTTGACCCACAGTATGACCACGACTTCACTAATCTCTCTGACTTGGCTGAGTGTAAGAGAGGTGATGAGCTTTATGAGCGTCCAAAAGGGTGGTACCGCATAGCCTTGAAAGTCAAGGGTAAATATCCAGACGGAGACACCTGGTTGGGCCCAGATGGGTGGAGGAGTCACTCTGTACCTGGAGAATGGCCTGTTTCCTACCATGGAACAAGCTTAGATGGAGCCAAAGGCATCATCAAAGAACACTACAAAGCAGGAGATAGAGCAATGTATGGAAGAGGAATCTACTCAACACCAGACATACATGTCGCTGAGAGAGAGGAGTATGCCAAGACCTTCACATCGGAGACAACAGGGAAAAAGTACAAAGTGATCCTACAAAACCGAATTGATCCTAAAAAGAGAGAGATTTGCCAACGATCTGACTACTGGCTCATTCCTGTTCGTAAAGGAACGTCTGCCAAGGAGGAGAGAAAGATAGTGGAGAGCTCTATTCGACCTTACGGCATTCTGATTAAGGAATTAAAGGAGGACAGTTCATGGGGTTGCATTGTAGTGTAATGAAAAGTTTTTCTTAGTGAGAACTGTCAGAGTGGTCAGTGTCCAACATGAACACACAGTTCTCTGTCATTTTAGGAGACAAGTACAGTGTATTACATTTGCACTTGTGTTTTATTTGTGCTCTTCTATCAGTTTAAAGTAGGCAGGGCAGATGGAAAAAAAAGAAACTTTTAATCAACCACATAAACAGTTCTGATGTCTGAAGATTAACTGAGTTCTGAGTGTTAATCTCGTCACAGATAATATTTTTTACTTTTTTCTTTTCTATTTTTCAGTGTTTACTGTATTAGAGAAATTGAAACCATATTTTCAGATAAAATCAGTACCTAATGATTTATTGTATCAAAGCAGTTTAACTCTATTGTTATGTCTAAATTTGTTCTTTTTCAAAGAAGATTCCATGTTATACCTGAAAAATCTGTTTGCTGATTGTTGATTTATACATTTATAGAAATAAAGAGTTATACATTATCTTCCCTTCAGTGTTTTATTGGTGATGGGGTTTTAAGTGATTTTCCTGCATGACCACACACGGTGGACGTTTTAACAGTTTAACAAATCATCAGGAAACGACAGCACTGTGTTTCTTTCCGTAACGTCTTTACTTCAGCTTCTACTCCCATACCCCAGCTGCTGCACGTCTGCACACACATTTCAACAAATGAATGCGTATTTGAAAGATTGTGTCATGTTCACATTCAGTCACTCATGCCAGCTCGGTTGTTACACCTGACAGACATGCTTGTGAATCGTTCAGATATATTATATAAATAAAGAGCTGTAAATGCCCTGCGTTACAATGTTTTCACAGTTGGGGGCTTTAGGAAGAGAAGTTTTTTTTTTTTTGCCATTAGGCAATTAATAGCAACAAAAACACTCCATAATTATGCAGCTCATGAAATTATTATTCGTGACACATGTGTGACACAGGCTGTTGCTCAGAGGTAGAGCGGGTCGTCCGCTAATCGGAAGGTTGGTTCGATCGGCTGCATGTTGAAGTATCCTTGAGCAAGATACTGAACCCCCAATTGCTCCCGATGCTGTGTGATGAGTGTGTAAGTGTGCATGAATGAGTTAGTTTCTGTTTGATGTGAACGTGTGTGAAAGATGTGGCATGTAGTGTAAAATCGCTTTGAGTGATCGGAAGACTACAAAGGCGCTTTACAAGTACAGGTCCATTTACCATTTACTCTCTGGGTGTGTGTGTGCCGTGTGTGATATTTTTAATACATGTTCATAAATGCTAAGGCCCATAAATGTTAACCTATATCAGAGATTCTTCCATCTTCAAACTCTTGGAAAATTAAAGATTTTTTAACAAACTTTAACTTTAACAAACCAAGGAACTATTATTGAGAGATGAACGAGCTGCTAGAGTGGAATGGCTCAATATATAACATAACATAACATTAACCTAAAAATGCTCTTTTTCTTTCATTGCTATACTCATCTCATCTCATATTGTTATGGTCACATCCCAATTTAGTTTTTTTAATGCTATTATAATTATATATAGGGGTGCACGGCCGATATCAGGAAATTATTACGTCATACCGATAAGTCCGATATCATGACGAATAGCCCCGATAACATATATAATTTTGTCAGCACTGCAGTGCCCCGCTCTCACTATGAGACCTGAATGCCCCACAGTGAATCCTGCGTTCAAGTGACGTTGGCATAATCAGAAAACCGCTTTCTGACTGGGAAAATGAAAGAATACCCCCTCATGTCGGAAAAGAACTCGTTAACTCGGTCATAATTTTGGTAGTTGCTTACTTGAATTGATATCCACAGTATTTTTCCACATGTTACACATAAACGAAAGAAACATGAACTTAAAAAGGCCGAAATAACGACTAGCAAACGTGGGAACAGGGAATTTCCGTCACACCATGAATGCAGCACAGCGTGCTTACATTTGATAACAAACGACATGGCGTTGATTGTGTGGGACTTTTTCAAAGTTTCTGAAGAAGACAGGTCGCTTGTTATTTGTAACAAATGTTCCAAGCAATTTCCACGAGGAGGTAAAAGTAGCACGAGCTTCAATACGTCAAACCTGATAAGTCACCTGAAACTTAAGCCATCGCTTCGACGAGTCTCTCTCTCTCCCTCTCTCTCTGTTCAATTCAAATAAGCTTTATTGGCATGAATGTAAAACAACAATATTGCCAAAGCTACAAATAAATGACATAAGAACAATTCCATACATTTCGTTAAATAAGTAAATAAAACTCTCTCTCTCTCTCTCTGTCTCGATAAAACAACTGAGCCTCAGTTACTTTAGTGAAAAGGTATTCATTTGAATAGAACCATAAGCCAAAATCCTTTAAACTTAATTTTTTGTTACTATGGAATGCACTTTTTCAGTCTAACTTGTGTCAGTGCATTATGCACATTTTATTTATTGTTATTGAGGAATGCACTTTTTCAGATTGTGTTTACATAGAAATGTTTGAATCTAACTTGTGTCAGTGCATCAATTTTCTATATTATTAGTTATTTTTTTTAACTTCTGGAATGCACTTTTCAGTTTGTAATCTCGCTGCATGTATTTGCATCAGTTCAAGGGGCCTTTATTTTTTTTGAGAGGCTTGCCAATAGTTTTTCATTGGAAAAAATAAATAGGCCTATCTCCATTTGAAGAGTCAAAAGTGTTTGTTCATAGTATTAATGTCATGATCTTAGGTCATGATCATATATATATATACATATATATATGTATATGTGTGTGTGTTATCGGTTATCGGTATTGGTATCGGCCTTTAGGAGCTGGAAGTTATCGGTATCGTTTTAAAAAAAAGTTATCGTGCATCCCCAATTATATATCAATGTCATTGTTATTTTTTATGCATTATCACACATTTTTGTTCAATTGACTACATTAGGCTTCAGATTTTGTAGAAGTCCTACAGTATTACAATCACAACTGTTCACTATTGGTTCCATTATCATTTAAATTTTGTTACATTTATTTCATTTTTTGTGTAAAATCTTAATATTTAAGAATTTCTTTCATTTTTCCCCCATAACAATATTCTAAATATATTGTATATTAATGTCTGAATTCCTACTTGCATTATAATATCTGACTATGGTCATTCGAGAGTGGGAGAGACTATACCTCTTAATATGTAGTTCTGGTAGTTCTGGTCAGCCTCTGCTCCCACCTTGATGAGACATGTCAGACCTTCAGCGATCACAAACTCATGGACCAGATCTTTGTCATCCTAAAGTAAAACAGAGAAAGTATAGGATAGGTTATTGCCACACCAGTGTATGTTGTACTGCATACAAACAGAACCACACAAAAATCCCTTCTAAAACTCAGTTCACTCACTTTTGTTACCACATGGGGTCAGTAATGTGCAGGATTAGGATTTAAGTTGCTTGCCAGAACCCCCACTGGTTCCCCCAGCTGATACACACACAACACACATCAACAACTGTGTGTTTCACAATTTGTTGCTTTGACACATCATCTCCTGTTACAAAAACAAAACTAAAAGGATGATGAAAACACTTAAAGGTAGCTGTCTGACCTAACGCAAAAGGAGTCTTAAACTAATGCTACCTTCTGGTGCACTGTCTGAGTTCTGTGAGTTCTGACATCTTACTTTTGCTCATTCAACGGCTTTAGGTGAAAGGTAAGCTTGGAGCCTGAGATAAAGTTATATCACTGGTAGGTGTTTTTCCATGGGGGGCAATAAATGTGAGCAAATTATATTCATGATGCTTACGATGGCACTTAAACACTGCAGTAATTTAAAGTTCTCCCACTGCAATTTTGTTTGCTGAACTACGTGTTATTATATTTGTGTATTCTTTTCTGTGTGTGTGTGTGTGTGTGTGTGTGTGTGTGTGTGTGTGTGCTCCAGAAAAAGCCCTTTGGTATTTTAGGTGGCTGACTCCTCTCATCTTAAAATAAAGATTCACACAAACACAAATGAAAACACCCACGCACGCACACACACACACACACACACACTCACACACACACAGACCTACACACACCCACACAGATACACACACACACACACAGGGAGAGAAATGCCACGTTGATGGAGATCCCTGTCATCATGGAAGCGCACAGTGGCCACAATAACCAACTGTGTTCTGCAACAACAAACTGACAGTAATTGCATGTGAAATATGTGTGTTACCTGAAAAATTTGCTTTAGAGAGAACAGTGCCCTTCTCAAGTCACGTCCATTGGAGTTATACAGTCTTTCTGCAAGGAGAGAAAGAGACAAAGAAGTTGTTATTTTTTGCTATTGAAGAGAGTCTGTTTGCATTGTTTATCTCCCCGTGCACTTTTCATCTCTCAACCATTCTTCATGTGTTTCATGACTAGATCAATAAAACTGCTGTGTAAAATGGGTCTCAGCTGTGCAAAAAGCTGCACAATAGTTTGATACGCTAGAGGAAGCTGGGAGTCGATGGAACCAATCACACCGCTCGGCTCTGATCACCTGGGGCAGGCACTTCATCACACACTTTCACCGCGTCCTCACTCACAGGGCGACACGTGCATGGTCTCCCTCACACACCCAAACACACATGAACGCACACACACGCGCATTGCAGTGATGATTAGAGCTGTATTGGAATGTTAATGAGCTGCTGGCTGGGTTTCAGCAGTGAGGTATTCAGGTCACGACACGGAAAGCACTCAGAACCAACAGCTATGAGCTCTTATACCACCACACTGATATTTACCCTTATTATTTCTATCCTTGGACACAAAGAGATCATTAATATACTTCTATGATATAACACGGCCTTATAATGTTCATGGTGACCCTGTGAACTCTCTTATGGTAACATTACAATAATCTTTTTTAAAATGTGGTTTTCTGGCACTTAATGTTGTATTTACAGTATTTTATCATATTCTATAGTATATCCTGCTGTAATATTATTACAATCATCATATTTCTACTATATTTGCATAGTTTGATAATTTTTTAGGCTGTAATAAGTGCTATTGTTTTTGTCTTATTTAGTTGTCAATTATTATATAAATTGACAACTATTCTGATCATTTTTTTAAGAAATAAATTCCAAATTCTCTCATTTCAGATTCTCAGTTGTGAATATTTTCTGGTTGCTTTAATCCTCTATGACGATAAACTGAATATCTTTCGGTTGTGGACAATACAAGACATTTGAGGACGTCATATTGTTCTTTGGGAAACAGTGATGAACATTATTGTTAGCTGAAGTTGCCTACAGTATCTGTACTGCATGCACATACTACTATAATGTCTAGACAACAGTAATATTGTTCCCTAGTGATCTGTATTAAGCTTAAAGTCTGTTTTGTTGAGTGCCCATTCTGTCCATTTGTGAGAATGAACAGTTGTGCATTCAACTGTGTGTCAGCAGGGGGTTTGGAAACCTGCGTGTGTAAATCCAGAGTTTGTGTGTTGATGACAAATCCGTCAGTCCATCGGGACGGGGGTTGGTTAAAAGCGTAGGAAGGTAAGGGCCTGCCGTCTGGAGCTCAGTGGTAACCGTCGCTAAGCTAGACAGCGCTAACCCAAGGCCAGGGTCAAAATCATTATCATTCCGCACACAGACAAAGAACTACAGGCCTGTCTGTTTCTCCACCTGCAGGACCCTTCCTGTGAGATCAGCAGCAGAATTCATGAAACACATCTGTGATAGTCTACAGCACAGATAATCAAATCATCCAAATCATAAGTGCCAAGAGGCAACTGGCACTCTAAATGTGTGGGAAAAAGTGATTCTAAACTCACTAAAAAAAAGAAATGAAAAAACTATGGTAGGAGGGAAAGAGAGGAAAGAACTTTTATACATAAGTATGAAAGAGAAGGGGATGGAAGAAAAATAGATGAGAGGGTAGGACAGGAAAGGAAAATGAAAGAAAATGAAAGGAAAGGAAAGGAAAGGGGTGGCCACTGAGTATGGGCCAGTGTCTGAACTGAGGAAAGAAGGCCAATTGCTTCTGGGTAATCAAGGCAGGAGACAAATGAGAGAGCCGAAGATCTGGAATTCCCCTTCTAAAAATACACAAACTACATACATGTCTCTGTCATGTCATTTGAGTTAAATGTAGATTTTTATCCTTTTCTGAGCAAGTCCAGCTGGTTGAAAAAAATTTTTAGTTTACAGTACAAACAGTACAACAGTGTTGTATTGTTTGTGTCAGCTGACTTCACATATATGGTGCCAGTACAGAGATCAAACATTTGATTCCATTCAAAAAATTACAAATTATAAATTATCATATTGCTCAGTCTTAAACAAAATTCTGCCTTCTTTCCTCAGCTTGGCACAAAAAGTTGGCTCCCTTCTTGAAGCACAATTCAAGCTTTTTTATAATCATCAAGCCAAGAAATCATTATAAATGGAAGACATGTCACTAAAAAGTACAACCCTCTTGTCCTAGAAACGACAGCAAAACACAAAGAGAACCTCATTCTCAGTTTCACACAACAAATACAGTCTGTCGTCCTCAGGAGTGGCATTAAACCTACTGGTCTCCAGGACTAATGGTAATGTTCCTGAACGCTGACTGTGCCCAAAGGGATTTTAGTTTTTTGTTTAAGTTGTACTTATAAGGTTCTACACTGCAACCATTCTTTATGAGACATGTTCTATACATGAGAAACATTGTACTCCTAATCTCCTGAATATCACAAAGTAACCTGTTCTGGAAAATGAATAACAAATACTTCAAGTAAAATAAGGATTTTAACTTATTAGCCCAGGGATGACGATGTGAAATGTCCCAGTTAAATATCTTTTTAGTAAGTTTCTAATCGGACAGCTTCACAAGTCAATTCCAAAGCCGAAGCATCTGACATTTATGTCTGATGTCTGGAGGTTCCCATCCCACTAACGGCCAAAACTGAGGTTTAATTCATTTTGGTATACCTGTGGTACAGAAAATAATATATTGAATTCACATTCTAGGTCTGAGATTGGCATGTTGTTATCTCAACAACAATAAAGATATTGTCCATTGTCAATAGAGGAGAGGCAGTGGCTCAGTTAAGTCCTCTTTTCAAATAACCAGTTTGGTGTGATTTCCTTGTTGTCGTTTCCCTAGGTTTCCCTGGAAATCAAGTGGCCACTTATTGATGTAGGGAACACGCCGTCTGGCCCTTGAGGGTCAATGATTTATTCAGGCCGTCACGTGTAATGTTCATGCTTTTCATCAGGTCATGAGTGGGCCTGTCAAGGGTAACCTTTACCAAAACGTCTGCTGTCCATCAGGAGCATGTCAGCAGCAGTGATAAGCCTTAAACTTGGCTTGATTCATTCACCAGTAGTGATGCAGGTGTGAAAAGGTAGGTACACTGTGTTATAAATAGCCAGAGTTTACAAGGAGAACGACCAGCAATGCAGATAAACAAACACTGAATTCTGGAAAGTGGAATACTATCTTAGGCAAAGGTTTATTTGATATTCTGTTTATTATTTATTTTTCTTCATATCTGCAATTATGATGATGTAAACCTCTCCAAAACATTCGCTATCTTACAGTTTATAAATAAAATGCACTAAAATGGAAGCCTTGCCGTTACCGTCCTTAATATAGTAAATAGTAAAATGAATTTAGGTGAGTGTGATCCCTGACATGCAAATACATACGAACCTATCACAAATATTCATATAATCGTTACATAGCTTTATGTCTTTTAACTGAGCTACAGACTCATACGAAAGTATCCCGGCTGCATAGGACCCATTAAGGACCCGCTATGTGCAGGCTGATGTTGGAGTGAACATATATGACTGATTCATTATCCTAGCTGGATACAGATGATGTGCAATGCCATAAGAGAGATAGTAAGAGAAATGAGCAACACAGACTCCATATATGTTTAAGACATTCAACAAACAAACCACCTTCATACGTCATTTAATATAACAATGAATTCTAAATTCATATTTCGAGAGACAACTTCGAGATGGGAGAGGTCATTTTGGTTATTTGTTTACAAAGAAAATCCTCTTTTCAGATTTTCTTGAAGCAAATATCTTCAGAGAGAATTCTTCACATGTTTTCTTCAAACTTAAACCTTTAGTAGTAAATTTGTTAAACTTGTTAAGATTTTTTTTTTGCGGTGCGCAGTTGAACCAACAGCCTTACGTGCCAACATTAATGTCGTCATGGCAATACCCTGTAATCACCCAATAGCTTGCAACAAAGTCTTGTCAACATAATTACCCTTCTGCTCCAGAGTAAACAGAGTTTGACATGCTAAATAATCCATGGGCCATTTTCCCATTGGCACAAAGGGCTCCAGCTGTCTTAACACTGCGTGTCTGGAGTGATGGTGCATTCAAGTTGGAAATAATTCAAACAAATCACTCTCACCTTCACCTCAAACAGTTTGGCCTGACAACACTGCTACAAGTGCCTGCATCAGACTGAAGTAACAGCAAAACTCAAACTAGGAAGATAACGCATATTAAATAGATGCCCTCCACTGGCCTAACAGACAGAGCAGTAGACGTGGGGATATATATGAAGAGGAAGGAGAGAAAATAGTGAAAGGATGGTTTTTGAATGGAGGATTTGCCTGTCCACGTGTCTTTTGCTGGTCACTCTCCTTTTTTCCTGGCCCTAGGTTTTATTATTGTCACACGAAAAGCTAAAACACTCACTGGGATGTGTCATTGTGGCTTGTGCATGGGCTGAGTGTGTGTGTGTGCATGCACACGTGTATGTGTGATCGTGTGCACGCGCCCATGTGTAAGCCAGTGCCTGTGTTTGCTGAGTGCAGACAGACAGATGAAGGAAAAGACAGAAAAGCACATTTCATTTATAGGTTCGCTTGGAGTTTTACTGTTTTGTTTTGGAGGACTCGCAGTTCTTGTCCACACTGTTTCACCATGACCTCACATGCACTGCAATAGGTCAGCCTTAACGAGTCATCAAGCCCCATATTCCGTCTCAAAGTTTTAATTATCTTGAAAAGAGGGGAAAAACGCGACCCACAAAATGTAATCTAATATGATTAAAACAAAACTCCTGGTTCCATAATCTTTTAATTCTGTTAAACAATACACAAAACCTATAAACTGTTCACCATTGCCTAACTCAATAACTGCCTCAGCCTCTCCCAGTATGTAGGGCTAGCTCTATAATTAGAGCTTAATCGAAGGAGTGACACACACACTGGAGTCCAGTTACTGTTGGAGCTTGGTGTATGCTCGCATAGGGTTCATCACATCCTAAACACCCAACAGATA